CCCTGAGGATGGCGCTCGCCTGCCCGCACCCTGCCCGCGAGCCCGCCCTTCGGGAAGCCCAAGATGTCTTCTCAGGCGCCTTGTCCAACACGAAGAACCCATCCGAGTGCGGAGTGACTCTCCATGTCAATCCGGCAGCTCCACCAATTCACGACCGCCGCATGCCCTGTGGCGCGCCTGTTTTCAACCGCTCCTCTAACCCTTGGGTGGGGCACCTCCAGGTTTTGCCGAGTCTTCCACAAAGAAGTATTGGGGTCAAATAGCAGTTTCCCCCAAAAGGGCTGGGCTTTCTGTTGGTTTCCCTTCAAGCCAAGCTCTACATTTGGATCTTGTTTGATCTATTTGGAAGGAAAACCACAAGGGAAAACCAACCTTTATGGGTTCTCCACTGTGGATGGACAGAATCCTGCACCACTTTGAGACCATGGTTGAAAGCATTAACCTTTTGGGTATTTGCAGCGGACTCCAATCATAAACCAGGGTTTCTCAGAAGGGTGGTGAACTCGATGTCCGGATTTCCACCAACCGTCCACTATTTCAGGAGGGAAACAACCAAACATACCAAGCTTTAGGGGTTCCCTATGGTTGAAACACCCCGTTCCTGGGTCCAACCACAAAACCATCTGCTTCCCCCACCCCCCTCCCCGCCCCCGCCTCCCGCGCCCACCGCCCCTCACCCCCTCGAAGCTCCGAAAGCTCCAAACCGTCTCTTCCATTTGGTTGAGGCCCCAGGAAAAAAGTAAAAATACTCCCAGTAGTGATGAATTCCTTTTAAACCCAAAGGAAAAAAAAAAAAAAAAAAAAAAACATATTCTCCTGGAGGGTCTGCTTGCCACCCCCCACCCCCAACTCGAAGCTCGAAGCGAAAAAGCTCCGCCTGGCCGCAGCGCGTCACCTGCGCGCCCAGATCTTTCAGCTCCGACTCCACCAAGCGGTGCATGGCCTCGACGCCACGGCCGGTCCATGGGTCGGGGAGTTGCGGGCCCCGGAAAATCGGGTTGGCTTTTCGAAGGAACCGGTTTTGGGGGAGTCCCTTCCCTTGTAAGGAACCATGCAAACTTGGGAATGAACCTTTTTCGGTTGAATGAAATGGTGTCGGGCTTTGGGGATTCCAACGAGTTTAAAGGAGAGCAAGAGTTGGGTAGAATGAACCGGTTTTGGGGATTCCCAAAAGGAAACCACCAGTGTTTTTTTCCCGGAGAAATGTTTCTTGGGAAGCTGCACCTGGGGATTGAGCAACTCCAAGGATGCCCACTTCCGATGGAGTGAATGGGCCAACAAAAAAAACAACTTGGTTGATTGCCACGAAAATGATTTTCCCAAAAACTTGAAAGTCCAGGGACTCAGGGAGTGAGGACATAAAGAGTGGGTAGCCTTATAAGGGTTTTGAGGAAAATCCCCCCTCCCCACGAAGCAAGCAAAAAGGGAAAGAACTGGTCTGGTAACCGTTTCGTGATTTGGATTGGAGGCTGAGTACCTTCCCATTTCGAGAGGACTTGGTTAGTAACAACTGGAAACCACTTTGAGGTCCCTCTGTTTGGTGGTTTGGATTGGTGGCTTGCTGATTCAAGCCCTGGTACATGAGAAACCACCCCGATTCTTCTACAGGGTACATGGGAAACCACCCCTCACCTCCAAACAACCAACCAAAACGACTCAGGAAACAACCAATCCAAACCACTGAGTGAGGCGGGGAAGGCGAAACAAAACATGGCATTTGGGTCAGACAGTTCAAGTTTTTGCCTTAGGGCGCAGAGAGGAAGGGGGCCTGGTAAGAAGCCTAAGAGGCAAACACAACTCGAGGTTTAAGCGCAAACAATATGCGCCATCCCGTCTGCCTCAATAGCTTCGGGCAAAGGGCAAAGAGGTCATGAACATGTTTCAAGATCCCGGGCAGTGAAGAGTGAGGAACTCCACGGAGAAAGCTGAGAAGTAGGGAACAAAACACAACATGCACACTTGCATTCGAGAACAATCATCATTGGTGAGCTCGCTTGTCTCCCGAAGCTCGTTGTAATTTGCCGTGCAATTCTTTTTGGGGGCATGGCTGCAAATAGGCGCGTCTTTAATTGAAGGCACTCTGAAACTAAAGGGAAAGCTCCCATTTCAGGTTTCTCCAACATGGAGACTAGCCCCAACTGAAGTTGCAGAACTGAGGAACATGGCAAGTTCAACAAAGTCTCTTGGCAACCAATCTTGGAAACTATCAACTATCCTCATTCACTACAGTAACCTATATGATTCCGTATGACAGCTTTGCAAGGTTGCGATTGCATTTGCCAGAACACATTCCATAAGACTCCAAAATTTCTAGAACCACGCTGTAGGGGCTTGAACAATTCTCAGGCTGATTCTTCCGACTTTTCCCCAAAGCTTACCCCCCCTTTCCACCATGGGTTTGTGCAAAAAGGCGTCCTTTCCAACAGGCAAGTCGTCTTACAGGGGTCGTCCTACAGGGCTCCAAGCTCCATGTTAGCTGCTGGGAGGGCTTCGTCTGCGGCTCTGAGCGGCTCTGAGCTCTGGGGATTGCACCGGGCGCCTGACTGGGCCGCCGGGGCCAATGGTGAGCAGGAAGTCCTGCTGGTAGGGAAAGGCGGGTACGTCGACTGGAAAAAGGAAACAAAGGATTCCGGTGAATATATATATATATATATGGCTGTGGGTCAAAACCCTGTAATTATCCCTGGTGAACATCGAAATAGGTGGTACATGGGTGTTCATCCCCCCAACATGGAGGCAAAGGTTATGACCCATGGCCATATATATATATATATATGTATACCATGGTCAAAGCCTCCTTATCAGTCTCATGGTTGCCCCAACAGGAAGCTTTGCATTGGTTGTCCAAATCCGTCAGAGGTTGATGACGATTCTTGCCAACCAAGCAACATGGGTCTTTTGGCCATGACACATACGTTCCCTTTCAACCCCAGCCCGCACAAAGGAAACATAAATTCAAAGTGACAAAGCTTCCTTGCAGTCTTGCAGAAGCAGAATATAGAATCCTTGTATAGCCATGGTCAACATGGGACAGGCGTAAAGGACATGGGAAAGTCCGGGTTCGTCGCCTGGCTTTTGTGCTTGAAATTGACCGGGTTTTTGAATGTCTCTTAAGCTTCGACGGGCAAGGGCCATCTCCCACGCGGGCCCAATGTGATGGAAGGAAACAAAAACGGATCCCCGGCAGTTGCGCTGGGCTCCCATTCGATCCGGTAGAACGTCGGAGGGACACCAGGAGCGCAACGCTGCGATTGGTAGAAGTAGAATGTTCAACTCTTTGAAGGAGTGCAAAAAACATATTTGCTGGTCATATTACTGGTCATTGTCAATGACCCTGCTGACCTCCAGAATCCTTAGTTCTGGTTGGCCGGTTTGCTGCCGCAAAGGGATTTCTCGAAAGTTCTGGCTGGCCGACTTGCTGTCTTCAGGTTTCCAACATTTTGAAGTTCTCCAAAACACGGGTCAACTTGGCCAAGTTTCCCCAAGGTCTTCTTGAGCAACCCTGGGCATGTGCAGCGGGACTCACACCTGAACTTGGTGTGTTGATACCTTGCAAACAAAATGGATCAACTGCTGGGAGAGTCAGCTCTAAACTCCAAAAGCCGCATGCAAGAATCGCCAGGTGAAACGCCTGCGTGGACCACGAGGTTGCAGCGTCACCTGAAGCGCCTACATTTTAGTTTGACATTTTAACCGTTTACCTTTCATGAGATCCAAACCCTCTCCCTTACTTTTAATTAAGCCTTCTTTCGAGAAACCATCGGAGGGTCAGCGCAGGGGAGATTTGGGAGCTGTAACTTTAGTTCCGGCTACCACTAAGCAAAAACAACATAAACAGTTTCTTCTTGCGCAAGAACACAGTGCATTCAACGCTCCTGCAAAGAATCACGGTCCCTTACACCACATCCTTATGATGGTTGTCTGAATTTCCGCTAAAGAGCCAATGACCGCCCCCACGTCAGTCAATCCAGGATGAACAACCCCTTGTGGAATTCTTGGGATATCGGCTCCTAATTTTCTGCCAGGTTCTACTGAGATAGGGTCAAGATTCCGTTTTTTCATGACCCCAAGGCAGACTTAGACCCAGGGTGGCTGAAACCGAACCGAATCGGCGTCCTGCATGTCCATGTGGCCGCAACCATGAGTCCGGCACCGGACTGGTGTCTATGGCGTTGGTCTTTTGACAAGGATGCGTTGGATGTCCCCCAACCCTGTCCTTGCTCGCGTTTTTGCAAGGAACCCACAAACAAATGTTGTGTTTTTTTGTTTGTTCGAAAGGCCTCACCAAAAATTGGAGTTTACTTGAAGAGGAGCCTACTGCGTGCGGCTTCTCAAAATAGTTAAACTGTTCCCTACTGATGGATTCTTGTTGAAACCACACATCAAACATGACAAATAACACCTCGTACACGTGTGTACCTACAATGAGGCATTGGACTTTAAGAAGAGTTGATTGGTTAATTTGTCATGTTTGGTTTCGCCAAAGGACACCAAGATAAGCTTCTGGCCAGGAGTTGCGATCATCGTGAGGCTGGCCACCCTCGTGCTTGGTTGCTCGCTTGCCCCGCTTGAAGGGCTGGCGGATCTCAAATGGTATGCACTTGTCAACACCCAACTCGCAGAAAGAATGGGTCAAGGATTCGTCATTTGGGGTCGACAGCAACTTGGTTGCACAGGCAAATAACAAGGGCACTTTTCTGCTGGAACTTTTGTACTCACCCAGCGTTTGTTGATCGGTATTGTTGTGAAACTAAGAGGAAACCAAAGTCCAATTTTAGTTTTGTTCAAACCCGAAATGCAAGGACTACTTGAACCCAAACCTTGTGCGGGGAGGAATCTAAGCCATCCCTTGCGCGGTTGACCTCATTCGGAGACAACAGCCTCACAAGTAAGTTTCAACTAACATGTGTATGTTGCAGGCTTAGTTTGAGGTTCAAGGTGTCGCTGAACCCATGTTCAATCTTCCCGCGAGCCCTCGAATGAGTGGATTCCCTTTTCCAAGCTGAAAACCCGAGTCGCGCCTTTTTCGACCTTTTTTTTTCTTTCTCATCTTTTGATGTGAAAGCTCGTGAACTGTGGCCTGGGCTTGAGATGCGGAAGGATGCCAGTGATCCCCGACCAGGGGTTCGGAAGGGGCCGGGGGGGGGGGGGGATTCTGTTTGGTGGGAGCCAAGCAACAGACTGAATGCGAGCAAGAATATGTTCGCGCCTCCAAAAAGAAGAGAGAAATAAACAGAACCCCCAAACAGCCAGAACGAGAACAGAACCAATTGCCCCCCGAAACAAGGGGACTCCAACCCCTCCTTTTGGAACAAAAGAAACAACCTGTGAGATGGGGCCTTGCTTTGTGGACAATATTGTGGAGCATGATTGCACATTGCTGGGATTGTGTATCATTCAGATTGCTCTGGCTTGTTTTGGGAACCATGGGCTTCTTGTTTACTGTTCCCATTTGGGGGGGGAGGGGGTAGTGAAAAAGAATACAGCCCCAAATGGGGACATGGGCGGAACACACCGAGCAACTGGTTAGGGGCTCCTGGACCAAAGGGTGGAATCCAACACCTCCGCAAATCGAACAGCTTGCCTTTGGCGGGGTGTCTAAAGAGGTCCCGTTCCATGGAGCCGGTCCATTTCAGGAATGGGAATCATCTGTTTGGGATCGGACCCCCGGTTTCAGTTTCATGCTACAATGCGGAGACGTACTGATATGTTCGGTTCAAAGGCTCTGTCCCGCTTTGTTTCAGCCTCGGTTGATCCCTGCAAATGGCTATTGGTTGAAAAGAAGGATCCTTGAAGAGAACGGGGAGGGCACAGCTAGAATGAAACGCCTTGCCCTCAGTGAATTCCAAGAAGAAGACTACCCTACTTCGATACAAAATCGCTGTTGGTGTACCCCACCGATGCCTTGAGGCTGTCAGCTCCCTACGCAGCTACCCCCCAAGCTCAAACTCCCCAGGCCAAGCCTCTAAGACCGGTACTACAGTGGTCTACCCAAAATCTACCCAAAACCAAAGAACCAAACCAGAGCGGCTATCCTTAGCCTACCCGGGTTTTGCACTGCTCAGCTTCTTTCTTGGACTGGTGCTTCCCTTCGGAATTCAAACCCTACCGCAGGGCTTCTACGCAAGCTTCATGTGGTCGTTCACCGCAAACCTAACAAGTTATTCCAACCAGAGGTGAGTAATAATCGAACCCCGAACCCCGGCTTAAAAATGGTCAACCCAGAATCATGTAAAGAATGAAGAAGGCGCGTATCCGCCATCTATGGCAAGAGGATTGTCCCGTACTATCCTTCATCAATCCCCGGGTTTTGATCAACTGTCACCGCTTCGTTTTCTACGCAAGTTTCATATGGTCGTTCACCGCACACCCTACGAGTCGTTCCAAACAAAGGCGGACCTTTCCCTCTTCGCCGAAACGCTAACTGGACCGTGCCGAGGCCCCGAGGCACCGGGCAGGTTCTCCAGCTTGGGGCTGGCGGGGTCCCATCCTCCCACCTCTGGCCCCGAAGCTGCCGAGGGCGACGGCTCCGCCGCCTCTTGGACCTCGTCCTGACCGAAAATCTGGGCCAACCTATGTTCATCAACGGGTACCCTCTCACTAATTCAGCTGGGGACGTCTAAGACCAAACGAGAATCTGGGATGTCAAGCTGTTGGAAATAGCCTGGCTTTTCCCTACCAATTTACATGGAACCTGACGTTTGGGGGGCTCCTGGTTTGGACCATTTTCTGTGTAAAGGGACCGGGTCCCCGTCAGGGTTCCATGTGAATTCGTGGGAGGCTATGTGGATGATTTACTTCTTGATTTATGTTTCTTGGCTGGGAGAGAGGGAGAATATTAGGTGGGTAAGTGACAGAAGAGTAAGCACTGTTCACGCTTGATAGTTTTACCAGCAGCTGGGACTACTTGGGTTTCATGGTCACTTTTTCCGACTAACTCCAGCCTCTACAGGCTTAACCCTACCAATCAACATGGAACCTGACAGGGGGGAGGGTGGGCACCCCCACTCTCAGTCTTCTCTGCATTAAGCGATAGGATGCCTCGCTCTGGCCCATTCTCCTCTTAATCACATCCTAGATGCTAGATACAAAGATGAAAGGGATGAAACATGATTGTACATGAATGTTCATTTGAAATGCAACATAAACATCCAACACGATGATTTAGGGAATAATAAATAGAATAAACGATGAACATGATTTATTTTTCTTTTTTCTTGCCTCCCTGACATAATCCTTGAATGAAGAGAAAGACGTATAGAAAAGGAGATGAGACAGTGAGCACACTAAAATGATAGCACGCATTAGGATCTATACTTATATATATATACACATAGATAGATAGATACATATACATACAGGCCAGAAAGCACGGGCTGAGGCTAAAGCTGGCGTGCCGGGCTCATGCTTGCTTTGCATCTGGCGCAGCTAGCGGCCACTCCCGGGTCGATGTTTAAAAGGACGAGGCCGGGGCAGGGAGCGGGTTCTGCTTGACCACCTGGCAATTCAGGGCGTCGGCGCCCTTCATCAGTTCACAAGCAGAAGATTCTGCGGGCTGCTTTCGGCCTTGTGGCAACATCACCAGCCCTCCGGCAGGACGCGCCTATTCAGGAGCTGGAAAAAGAGTAAAGCAAAACTGAGAGCGTCCTGGTTCCCCGCCCCGGCCGTGTTGAGGTGGTCCGAAGCACTTCCCAGCCGAAGCTGCCAAAATGTTTTTACAACGCGCCGTCAAGCGACTTCCCAAGAGGGATGGGCGAATACGACGCGACTCAAATTTTTTGCTGGTGGAGACATCAGTATATGTGTGAAAATGCCTGCCACTCATTTGTTCAGATTTCATCTGTTGCAGGAGACGCGCCGTCGCGTGGTACTTGTAGTTACACACCCAAAGCAACAGTGCAGCAGGTTGGCGTGCAGGCCGGGCTTGTTGTCGCCTGCGAACAGATTCACACCCCTACTGTACACGCATCACTCAATTTTCAGGCCCGCTACTCAAATTCTATGTATTAAGGGCACCTCATGTGAGGAAGGTTGGCCACGCTGCCTCATGCTGATTGCACTCAGCAGCAAGTGCAGTTTCAGAAACTTGGTGCTACATTCAAAGATTTCCGATGCAGCTTCCCTTGACCGAAGCTGCTACAGTACACTCGCAAACATAAAGCGATCCACGCGTGCATTTTGCAACATTGAACCAAACGCTTTCCAACGAAAAGCAAGCTACAAGAATCGGCCGAGGTGTTCTATCAGCCCCATGAAGCGGGATCCTGCAGACCTCAGAACCAAATTAAAAAATCCCCTTCATAAAAGTAGGATATTGCCGCCCTTTTTAAAATCCAGTGCTTTGCAAGTGGCTTTTCGCGTCGCGGCACCCAGTGGGCCATTTCAGTTTGCAAAGAGTTGGTCAATCATGATCAAACGCGCCCCTCGAAGCAGGACGTGGTATATCAGGCTTGCGCTGTTTTTCCAGCTGGGCGGCATGCAAGCTGCCTGGAAAGGCACCATGGAATCCGGTCAGGGAAAAGGTAGAGCAGGCTGCTTTTGCTGAGGCATCCATTTTCCAAGTGTGTGGTCAGGAGCTGTTGGCAAAGTTGAAAGCCCCGAATATGTTGTAGCTGCCAGCTTTTAGGCCTCGCCAATGTACTCGCAAATCAGGCGGCCATTACATGCTTTGTGGGACATGAAGACGTTCCCGTTATTCTTCAGCATCTTGGGCCAAGCAACTTAAAACGAAAGCACTATGGGGGATGCGTGTGTTGAGGCGCCATCCCAGGTGTCCACACGTGTTGGCTTGAGTGCACCTTCTTGCTTTTCCTCCAAGCTTGAAGTAAACAAGGGGTCACGTGCAGTCAGGACGCACAGCTGCAATGGCGTAGCGCTTCGCTCGCCCAATGCCAGGCGCAATGTAAGTGGAAGCAAGCCAAGATAGAATATCCCCAGTTTCGGTCATCAAGCGCAGTCCGCGCTGCTTTGCGCAGCACAGGAAGCAGCAGCTAATAACCCCCCCAATCCCCAGGCAATGCGATGCCAATGCCATGACAAATCTCCACGAAGCTCCGTCATCAAAACCCGGCACCCATCTTTGCAAAGAGGACCGCCTGATGCGTTCAAGCCCCTGAATAGTATATGTAGTCCCCAGGTCAGCCGTCTAAATACAGGTCGCGGAGTTTCATGGCCAACGATCCGCGAAAACGGAATTGTAAACATGCAAAAGAGTACCTGATCGACTGTGGCCGAAACCACAAAAAGCCAAGCATCTTTGAGCTGGAGCTTTTGTCCGGCCCAAACCGGGTTTCATCAGCACACACGCCAGTTGGTATCACACCGTCTCACCCTAAACAGGCCCATGAAGCTCCGCGGCGTTTTGCCCAATCCCAGTACAGGTTGATGTGGTCCCTAGGCATGAGTGTACGCAAGAAGATCAAGCAAATCCACAAAGTAGAGCTTAGCGGAAGTACTGTGAGGTTCATCATCCGCAGAAACCACTGGAATTCTATCTCGATGGGTTCCTTACATGATCGATTGGGTCAGCGAGTTGTCAGCAAGCAACACAGATGCCTGCGTGCTCAAAAGTTGTTATTATATCCGAGCCGCAATTGGTAGCTTGCAAAATCGCAAAAAACTGTGCTGAAATTATTTTCTGATCTCGCGGCTTCAGCCAACTTGTTGCCATTGTCCAATCGCCCCTGGGGCCGAGGGCAGGTAAATATTAACAGTGCACGCAATTAGCAAACAAACACCAAAACGCGGCCCCGCGTAGCCTGCTGCAGAATGCACAGACTTCATGATGGAGCGCGCGCTAGCTCCCTGAGCTAGCGCGCGCTAGCTCCCTGAGCAGCAGTGGCCAGCATGCGGCAAGCATGCGTTGTGCTCAATATAGTTTGATGGTGGTGTATGGGTGGGAGGTCCCTCGTAAAGGCTGAAAGAAAGTCCAGCAGGAACACGTAATTGTCGGTTGCAAGGACTTACATAAATGTGCGCGCGTTGGAAAAGCCAGGAAGGATGCAAACTGGGAGCCAAGGCGTCTCTGGGGTGACCGTATCCCTGACACTAATGAAGGAGAAGGGACACGGGGCCTGGTCGCCAGGCATCACGATTAATCTGTTTCTTGACAGCTAATGAGGCCTCCTTTCTTTTTGCTTCCACCTCTTGCTTTGGGACCCCATTGCTTTTGCAAAGCTCATGGAACCTCTCGTTCATGTAGCCCTCATTAGAGACCCGTTCTTTGTAGAACCGCTTCCGGACTGAACCCGGCGTTTTTCCAACCCAACCCCGTTGGAAGCCGCGTGGCTGCTCACTTGCCAAAACCTGTCACGCGGGGGTGACCGGGAAAACAGGTGCGAGGCAAAGCCGCGCGCGGTTGTCCTGATTCCCCAAAAGCCTGGTCAAAAAGCATGATGGCCGTGCATCAAGCGTATACCGCCATGTTCAGGAACCAAGGCAGCGCTATGGAAACCATGAGCCTGTTAACCCGTGCCGGATTGAGAACTTGATAATGGTGAGTCTTTGGGGGTCTAGCGCGTAGGTCAGTGAATGGCACACCCCAAAGTGCTCATGGAAGACCAGCAATCGGGGTTGGGCGCATCACTGCTCCCCAACCCCTTCAAGCTTTCTTGCCTGGGCAGGGCGCATTCCTACATATATCAGTGTTAGAATGAAGTCATGTCCAAGGTCCAGGCGGTTTGCATTTCCATCAGCAATGTAGCGCTTCTTCCATGACATCGGGTGCGCAGTGCATTGGATGGAACGATGTAGCTAGCATAAATCTAGCAGTCTAACTCTGATCCAAGGAGTTAGCTTGAACGCTGCTGATGGTCATGCTCAAACTGCAAAGCTAGTTCCCATGCGCAAGGGGTTCCACAGCGATATGTATCTCTATGATCCATGGGCCTCGCGGCTAAGCAGTGCACGACATCACAACTTGTGGGGTCCTTTCAGGACAGACGTTCTTTGGAGGTCTCTCACAAACTGTTGGCGTCTTTTCGAAGAGACGCTCTAGAAAGGGCTGCTCGAGGTGCAAGGTAGACATATATACATACATAATCGCATATATATAATATATACACATACTTGCATATATATACATATATATCTACATATGCGTATAACGATACATATACATGTATACATACTCACCTATATACATATATGCTTATAAAAGAATCCGCCGACCCTCTGCCTCCCGTCCCAGCCTCCTGCAGAGGGGACCGGCGTGGGATGCAACTGGAAGTGATTGGAATCAATGATAGTCCCTGAGGGACACGCCCGAACCCACAAAAAGTGGATTCCCAGGACCGGTCCCTCGACCGGTCCTGGGACCAGTCCTGGGACCGGTCCTGGGACTGGTCCTGGGACCCTGGTTCTGCTGTTTTAGATTACTTGTAGTCAGCCAAAACCGGTCCTGGGACTGGTCCTGGGACCGGTCCCAGGACCAGTCCTGGGACCGGTCTGGGAAGCCGGTCCGGGATCGAGTCCTGGTGTGACCGCTGGTATTGGGTCCCAATTCAATGCCACCTCAAACCGCTCCAGACACCTTTCCGGACTGGCACCCAGGACACTGGACAGGGTCCCAGATCGTCACTCCCTGCGACCAAACCGGCCCGTGCGGTTATTGACGTCCTTGTGGTAGTAGAGGATCCCTGGATCTATTCTGCAAGAGAGTCCAATACGTCAAGTCAAACCGCGCCAGACTGGGACCAGCCTGCTGCCGGCGACCGGTCCAGGGCAACTTCGGGAGGGCCAGTTTCAGGGCGACCCCGGGAGAGGCGACTGCTCCCGGCCAACTCGAAGTGACTTGGGCGCAAGCCGGCCCAAGTGGTAATTAACGGACTAGCTGCCCTATTTCTGACTTTTCCGTTAATCCTTGTTTGTGGTCAACTTCGGGAGGGCCAGTTTCAGGGCGACCCCGGGAGAGGCGACTGCTCCCGGGCCAACTCGAAGTGACTTGGGCGCAAGCCGGCCCAAGCGGTAATTAACGGACTAGCTGCCCTATTTCTGACTTTTCCGTTCATCCTTGTTTGTGGTCGTAGAGGATCTTATAAGTGGTCCCTGGGTTTGCGGACGTGTTTCAGGACCGGTCCTTGTGACTTTTCCCTTAATGCGCCGAGGGTCGGCGGCAGCAGGCGGGAGCCTGGTTAATATACATACATACATGTATACATACATACGTATTTACATACACGCATATGTTTATACATATGTACATGTATATATATATATGTATACATATATACACAAATATTCATACATGTGTATAGTACACCCTTCTTCTTCGGGTCATTCAGCAAAGGCGGCCACATGGACCAATCCTTCGGTTGATGTTGGTTCATGACTTGGCCAAAATCATTTGGCTGGTTTCTGATCCAAACACTACGATTCTTGACTGGCAATAAGGGAACCCCTGGCAAAGAACAGGACATCTGCACCAACCTTGATAATGGATATATGATATATCCGTAGTATATAATATGTATATCCCTGTAGTGATATAAACATCCGCTAAACACTATGTTAGGTGTGGTTTCCGAGTTCTTCGCACACAATTGCCGGGTTTCGAGAACCTAGGGATCCGTTAAAGGAAACCGCCATGGCTTGTTGGTTAGGTCTGGTGCATGAATTTGGCTGAGTTGGGCTCAATAAGTTTATTGTATTTATTTATTTATTTATTTTTGTTAACACCCGTGTTCTGAAAGACGGCATAAGACGTGTCTACGTCTGTTGATTAAAAATAGCTCAGGGTCATTTGACTTCCAATAGGGTCTGGGCCGTACACAAAAAAACATCTCTCTTCAGACAGAGGTCCATACTGTGGATGGACAAAATCCGTTCGCACCACTCTGAACCCATGGGAAACCATTGTTTGTTGGTATTACAGGGGAATCATCCTGCCAAGGTCTCTTAGGGGGTGCAGAATTTGGTCCATCCACAGTAGTTCTAATAATTTTGGAGGAGCCCCCAGAATCAAGAATTGAGTGTCATCGGCTTCATGACACGCCATCCAGAATCCGCCTCCATTGTTAGGGCAACATGGCTTCACCGATAGGAAATCAATTGAATAGGGGAACCTTTGCTGGACATCATTTATATGGAGATGTATGTCCACCCACCTTCGAAAGGGCTTGACTCTCTCAACATTCATAGCCGTACGGTGGCGCATGGGTCCGTACGATTCGCCTTTGCTGGGTGCACTTCAATCTGGCATGCTCCTTCATCAAAACGCCTCCCCGCCACAATACAACCCACACACTAAGGGTGACATGGGCAACAGTCAATAACCATTAATTTGGTGAGCGGTCGGTCCCCTGTATACAGTATAATCTTAGAACTACAGTATGATCTTAGAATATTGTCCGTTGCTCATGAACCTCAACTGTGGATACTAAGATATACTTACTTTCTGTAGCACTTGTCTCAAGTTGATGGATCCAAGGGCAGCTCGGGCATGCAAGGCAAATCCTAGAAGGTGGCTTGGTCAAAGTGACCGCCCGCACAAGATGAGTTAGTGGCTGATACACCTGGCGGATTAGTCTAGTAAGGGGTATGCTTCCCTGGAAATCCAGGATCCCTCCTATAATTGGCTGCGCCCCTCTATCATTTTTTGCAGGGTTTTATTCATGTTAGGTTCCCTCTAGAGTGTCAGATGCAATCAGGCACCCCTTGAATGACGTTGACAGGGTTCCACCACAAAAAAACATCACCATCTTGGCTCCTGTTCTTTAAGTCGAACCAAAAGCCAACCAAGAAATATGGCTGCGGGAAACATGGACTAAAACCTGCGGTCCCCTGGTGGTTTAATTTTGACCCACATCCATATAAGGAACTTGGCCAAGCGAGTCGGAAGCCTTCTCGACTCAGAGGTGCTTACACACCAACCAACTGGATGGACATACCAGCCAAACTCAGTAGCGAAGCAAAGGTTGCTCTCTTGCATTTTGGATTTCTAAAGAAACAGGGGGTCCACCAAAAGGAGATGCCGCCAAAACCGGAGCATTTTAGGTTCCACCATTAAGCTTGCAGGGGTGTACTTGTCTCGTGTGAAACATGCGGGCCCAAAGCCATGGTCGGCTTCCTCTGGGAAGTAAACCCAAAGTTGTTCAATGCTTCCCCATGCAAAGGGACCATGGCTTGCAAAAGGACTTCAAACTGAGGAAACCTGGGCAAAAGGCTCAGCTTAATTTGGGAAAACTCGAATTGAGGAGACCATAGAGGGTCCCCCCAATGGCGAGAAATCCTTGGTAAGCTTTAATAAGGCAATCATGCAACCACGGTCTGGGAGCAAAATGGAAAACACAATGCAAACATGGGAGCATGATGGGAGCAGCCCTAATATTTTGCCCAAAAAAAGAGGCTTTAACAATATGGAAACATATCACAGGAAACCACAAATTTCCTCCCCAAGGAAGCCCATGCGAAACCAGCAGTCGCACAAGCTCGTCGGGTTTTGCCCTTCCCGTCCTCAGGGATTGCCGGCCACTCGCTGATGTTTTGGCCTGCGCTTGGGTGCGGATGCGTGTGGTTGAACCCGCGGGTCAGAAATTCCCTTTCACCCAACCATAGATTCTTGGATCTCATAGAAACCGTCAATGTCATGATACCACATACTGTGGATGGACCAAATCCGCGCCAGGAACTAGTTGGGATGGGTGAAGCCCTGTGAATACTGGGATGGACCAGCTACCAACTGGTGCAGGAATCTGTCCATCCACAGTTTTCCCCCTGTTTTGGTCTATATTGGACCCACAACCTGCTCTTGGCTCTTGGCTTGCTGTTCATGTGTTGGTTGAAATTTGGGCTTCGACCCCCCTTGTTCCGAAGCCATAGAACATAGACTGCTTCTCGCTTCCGAGTGCATTTGGCCAAAGATCAACTATACCAAAGAGAACTCGGTTCAAACTGGCCCAGGTGCTTTTCAAACCAACCCAAAGAAAAATCTTAGGGTCATGAATGGGTCACCCCAACCCAGGTGCTTTTCACACCAACCACTCAAAACACCAACCAACCAACAACTCAAACCAACCCAAGGGATGTGCCGAGCGCCTGGGCTTTGAGGACAGCGGGAAATCTTTGGTCTCCAAACCGACCCAGGGGGGCTCCATGGTGCCCGCTGGCGTGAGACTTGTCCTATAAAACCTCGGTTGCGAAATCTGCTCCCCTGTTCAAAAGTTTAACTTTTACTGGTTTAATGGAAAACCCATTAGCTGGCAAAAAGTTCAAGTCCTAACATCCAAGCAAAATGCACCAAAGAAATGATCTGCCCGCGAAAGTCCAACACCTCGCAAACGAATGGCGGATTACTCTGGCCCGGCCCAGGGCGTGACAACAGCAAGCCATGGTAAGTGCAGAAATTCGGGAAGTGAGTAGTCATGAAGCTTTTGGGAGTCGCAACCCGTGCGAGAGGGGATCCTCAACTGATTGCAGGGCAACTGGTTTGTTGATGAGTCAGCATCGTTTTTTCTTTGCCACGAGGGCCAAATCCCTGTGCGAGGTTGCAGATTTCTTGACCTGCAAACAAGGGAGCCGCGTGGCCTTCATGATGATGAGCTTGTTTTGCCGCCAAGTGAGCACACCATAAAAGGAGCAAACTACTTCGTCGGGGGGAGGGGGGGGAGACTGATGCCTGGTATCGCAGAAGGGTGTCCAAGCTCGACTTCCTACAGCCTTGGTCAGAGGCCGGGACTTTTTCAATCAAAGGCCCCATAAAGAATCAGGAGCACATTGAAAAGAGGAATCCATGAAGAAAGGGAGTGATTGCCTGACAAAATGACAGTGAGCAACAATCAGTTGGCATAGCCGACGATCAGTTGGCAAACATTTTGGACATTGCAACCACAAAACGGGCGGGAAATCCGGCCGAAGTGGCAAACACAGCAATTGGGGGGGTGGGGCTCCAGGTTCGTTCCAGGTGCGAACCGATTGTCACTCACTCGTGCCAACTTGGGTTGGGCACATTGGCCTAGAAACTGGGAACTTTGGCTTAACCTCGGATTGGCAACTCATAGGGTTCACCCCCCTTTGAAAAGAAAGGTTGACTCAACTTGGATGATGACAATCCTTAGGTAAACCATGGTGGTTATACGAGCCCCCATTGTTTTAATGGCGGTTTGAATCCCAGGGCATAGCTCCCCCCCCAAGCCCTGACGCCAATTCTCAGTCGTTTGCCTCGCGAGTCAGGGCTCTGGGCCTCAACTGGCCGGCGACAAGTAGAAGGAACCATTTGTTTGGGGTTCTTCAACGGGCGTCAGTTGTTTGTTTTTTTGGAATGCCTGTTAAAGGTTTTGGGATTCCTTGTGTGGGTGTGTGGTCGTTGAAGGTTGGTTTGAATAAATGCAAGGAACAGCGCTGCCCATTTTGGGGTCTTCCTATTTTGACACATACCCATGGTGCCCTTTGAAGCATCACTCCGAAGCTCAGTCAAGATTCGACAAGTTGAATCCTTCGCCCAACACGACTTGCGGAAGGCCAACGGGATCGGGTCAAAAAGGGCAACTGAGGCAACTTGCAACAGTTCTCACGAAGCCTTGACTAAAACCTAAACCAGAAATCCCCAAGGTTGGCCCTTTCAGCCCCCCTTTCTGGGCACCGGGTTACCAGTTCCGCAGGTCGAAATTTGGCCCATTCCCGGGAAACCATTGAAGCCGGTCACCAACTTTCGAAGCAAACGCGGGTCAGAATTAAATTGGTTTCGTGGTTTGGTACCTTCCCAAAAGGTACTGGGGTTCATACCCCCACCGATCCAAACCACCAACGCTGGGATTCAAACCACCATACAACAATGGGGGCTCATATAACCACCATTGTTGACCTAAGGATTGTCATCATCCAAATTGTGTCGACCTTTCTTTTAATGGGGATTGAACCCTAGGGCCCACTAAGGGTTACCAAGTTAAAGTTTGGTCTACGCAAATCCATGCAATATCAATTGGCCCTACCGTCGAACACGCGGTTCGATCTTCTTTGTAACTGCTCGGAGCAACGCCGAGGATGAACATCTAAATGAACCACCAAATTAGGGTGACTGTGAACTGTGAAGTACTATAAGGTCCGACGAGAAAGATAACAGAAGCAACAACGCTGAATAAGCTAAAGCACACAAAAAGAACAGATGACAGTGTCAATCAACATCTGGGACTTGTTTGGGATACCAAGAGCAATCCTGATTTGGAGGTTTTAGAGCATTTCACGGGGTCAATTGGGTGAATTTGATGGTGCGATTCCTCGATTTCAGTTTAGGCATGCCCACTTCGCCACAGAATTGTGCACCCTTATCGAAACCTACTAAAACCCAAGGGATTCATGAAGCCAACATTGTGACCTCCCCTGTGACACGGGGACAGCGACCCTCTACCTATGCGCCCTGTGCGCCGCGCAAGGGTGGCCGGCTGGCTCGCAGGCACCAGAACTGGCGCCTCACGGTGGCCATGCCCAACAGGTACTGAAACTTGGACATCTGGGGGACACAGAAAATACTTCAAACAACAACTGATTCGGGTGCATATTGAGTTTGTCCTTTTAAAATATTTGCAAGTTTGGAGACCCCAAATAAAGGCCCAAATAATTGGCATATGGTGTGGGGTGCTTTCAAACCAGACCAAGTCATGCTCATAAGAGCAAAATGCTACTAGTAGTATTCATGTAGCGCCTCATACAATGCTGATAGCCCAAACAACGCACCCAACCAGTCACCAGAAGTCACATGTGCAAAATGGGGTGCCGGTGCCTTCTGTCTCTTGCTTTTGCGGAATGAGATCCGATGCTCCAGCTCCACATGGGTATGGGTCAAAAAAATAATCACCATGGGGACCGCAGAGTTTTAGTCCTTTCCATTTACCAGTGCAACCCATTTTGCGTACCCATTTTTGGATCAGCCACAGCCGCATTTTCCGTTGCTCCGCTGCCTGAAGTCTCTTCCTCTTTTTGGATCAGAAATGATCTCACGCATCGCCTGAGGCCCCAGAACTCGAATTGCGCATGGCAGTGCTACTTACATGAGCAGACACCAATTGTGAAACCAAAAGCACCTTGACTTGGCCCTCTCATCCTTCTTTTGGCACACTTCACAAGAATGATGGGTGCAGCCGGACAAACTGGACGCCGGAATACTGTGCACCATTTTTAACCTAGAGTGACATGCAAAGTGTTAGCAGTGCCAAAATCCATTGCCTTTTGGTTCTACCAAGATCGCGGCAAAGGCTTGTGTAGCTTCGTCACGAAGAGCCAGGAGTGTAGGAGAAAAACATCTCTCTGTTGAGTCATTTGTAGTGGGTGACAAAACCGCCCGTTTAAACACGTTTGCACACCTATTCTTTAAACGACCTCCCTTGGCCCCATTCAACAAAGGGCCATAACCTTGTCGTTTAATGTTGACACCTGATCAATAACCCCCCAGTTATTAATCAAAGGGGTCCTGACAAAGGATTCCCCACTAAAAAGGGTCCCCCCAGCCACTCATAAGTGGGGGTGGTTATTAATCAGGAGTCAGCATTCAGCGCTTTCTCAACTCCTCACGTGCCTCACTGCGCGCCAAGGGCTGCACACTCGCATTCTGCGCCTGCATGTCTGTTCGCTCGCATTCTGGATGTGCGGGGATTCATCGCAAGGCAACCAAGGGGCTGAAAAAGGCGTGCTCTTTACGCCTTTGTAATTAGGCTTTTGTGGCGCGTTTTACCAGGGAAAGTTGGAAGAAGCCTGTATGTCTTTATAGCTCTTCAGGGACTGCACTCGTGTTTATGAGGGCGGCTAAGGGCTTCAGTCAAACGAGCAACCAAGCGGCCCTGGGAAACTAAGGGGTATGCAGTCTCGGCCTTCCGCTTGGTCAAAATGCTGGGATAGTTTGTTGGTGGGCCCTCCAAGTGCTCGCCTGACCATGTCGAGTCATCAGACAGGCAGGAAAACACGAGGCCGGCTTTGTAGAAGCTTTAGCATCTTCCGGAAGGAAGGATTGGTCTCCATGATCAAAGTTGGCGGTTCTTCCAAACGCCAAAATATTCCCTTGGCACAATGTGTCGCTCGGTGTTGTCTGTCACTTTTTCGCTGTCACAAGCCAAGTGGCCTTGCGGGAGACCGAAGCGTCGAGCCCCTCGTCATAAACAGCGCGTGGGGCGCCCCTTAACAAAGTCTGCCGGAGAGCAGAAGTGCATGCAATCCCCCCCAGTAGGATCTCATATGCTGACCGCATTTCGGCCAGCCTACATCAACAAGGTGATTCCAAGGCTTGGCCATGCACTTGCCAGGTTTTTACAGGGTTGTCAAAACAGGGGGATACTATAAACACCTTACTTTCATGCCTCCCACTCTGCGGTCACAGAACATCGTAGCTCCCCTCCGTGTTTCTTTTGAAGCGCTCAAAGGCAGACCTGTCCAATTTCAGGGGCAACTGCGGGGAACCGTTTTGTTCACCCTCCAAACCTGGTTTTGGTCGACCCTTTCCTATTTTTGTCAACTCTTCACCCTACTGCAACTGCCACAAGTTGATGATCACCATTGGTGAAATACGATTTGAACCCCTTCACAGCGGACTCATCTGTTCTTCTATTCAGCGGCTGATGGGGAAACTGTCCAAAACAACTGTTGGTTGCTTGAAGCCAAATTCCTCCAGCGAAGCTTGTCTTTCAAATGAAGCTGCTGCAGCCATGCAAAGCAAATATGGGGGGGGAGCCTTTTTGGGGATTATATCATCTTTAGTCGGTAGCCCGCCAAATATTATACCTGGAGCACAGGGTCCCTTAAAGCAAAAGCATACACTGGGGCCACTTGGGCAAATCATAAAACCAATTAACTTTCCTTTACCTGATTCAAGAGGATCACCTAGTTAAAGCACCTGGCATTTGGATGTAATATTTGAACCGGGGTGCTACCCCCGTGACTAGTTTATCACTTCACAAAGAACAAACTAGCCATGGGGTTAGCACCCCCTTAAGGGATAAATATTACATCCAAATGCCAGGTGCTTCAACTAGGTGATCCTCAGAGAGTGGCACCAAAATGGGCATTCGGGGCTCGGATCATGTGGACCTTGGTTGCCACTACATAAACCTGAACAAAAACAAACACATGCGCACAAACATGCCTTTGACCCGTCCAATAAACATTCCGTCGCCTCTCACTGACTCACCACCCAAAAAAACAAAAGATTTCGACGGCGCCATCGAATTCGGCTCCGCTCCGCCTGGCCCTTGACGCAACCTGTGCAGGCGTCGAAGTTGCAGAGGTCGCCTCGAGTGCCCAAACCACTCGACCCCGATGTGAGCGAAGGTCAAAATACTGATTGCTGCCCCGTCAGGACATGGGAAACTGAGCGGGTCTGGGTTTTGGTGTGGGAAGTTTCATGTCCCTCCCAAATGATTTGACCGTACCGGAAATGTTGACCAAATTGGGGAGCCTTTGGTGGACATCATGAACATGTCCAACAAGCATTTGTGGGGGTGTTCCATTTCAACAAATATACCCAATGTTGGACAATATTTGCAATACCACACATGGCCCACGGAAAGGAGTATAAAACCTTCGCTGAAGTTTTTCCCCCAGCACGTCTGCACAAAGTAGTGTATGTGTATGACCACCACCCCCGAGCTAGGAAAAGAGTATTTGAGTCACAATCCAAATCTGGTACCAAATCCATGTAAAAAGGGCGGATATCCGCACGGAGGGAGGGAAGTTACCTAGTTGCTCGTTTGACCAAGTTGGAAACGGCCAACAAATCAAAGTCATCCCCTACCCTGGCACCAACGAATGCGGAACCTGACTGAGAGCCCTAAGGCCATTTTCCTCAAGGGACCTGGTGGGCGTGTTGAGGAGGAGGCTGAGGGTACCAAGGACAGTGCAAACCAGCTGACTTGTTGCTACAGTATCGTGGACATTTTCGTGTAGAATATTATACATATACATATATATATATATAATGTAGGCCTGACTAGTTATAATCCCAAAATCAGGTAGTAGAGCCCCTGCGAAGCATGGCCACCAGTGTTTTTGAGCTCGTTACCTAACCAACGGACCAAGTAAAATCAGGTAGAACCCCTCAAAGTTAACTTCTTGTGGTTGGTCTCAATTCGTTTTCAGGCGCCTCGATTTGGGTCCAATGGAGACGAGGATTTACAGGTCTCGGGCCATGATGTTCACTGTTGGATATCAAAGTCAGCAACTGGGGCCATCGCTTCCCCCCAACCTAGAGAGACGATTTAAAAAATGGGGACAGCGAGACCCAAGGAACCTAACAAAACCGCAGGGCGCCGCTTCTGGGTGTTGCGGAACGAGCCTGGGAAAACCCCGGGTTTTTCCGCCTTCTTCCGTCATGTCCCCCCGGAAAAAAACGAGCCACTTCCAAATGGGCCAAAGCTGAAAAAGCGAAAGCTCGAAAGGTCTTTGGACAACCGAGGTGATACCGGGTCGCGACAACAAACCCGAAACTTTGAGTCCCCGGTGGGGAAGTCTGAATGGTCGCTCATTTACCCCACCGCATCGGGCATGCGTTGCCGCGCCCTGAGGGCTCCGCATCGCACCATCATGCTGCCTGCCAAGTCACTTTTGCTTGGTTTCCGCGCGGTTTGGAAGGGGGGCCAAACGTTTCCTGCTTGTGTTTAACACAGCAAACAAACACCCGCCTGTTTGAGTGTGTCCAAGAAGAAGGGCCAACTGTTTGAACCGCGTTTCAACTAAGTTACACCAATCGACCTTTTGGGGTGCCCATACTGTTGATGGAAGAAATATTGCATGAGTTTTATAAGACTACATGTTTACCACCCCGCGCCCCATACTTAACATTGAGCTGTGACGGGCAAAAGTGCTCGTAGGTTGCCAATGACCCAAATCTTGCATGACCCAACCCAACTTGGCCAAACTGAGCACCAATGTTAATTAGGGGGGCGCGGGGTAAGTTGTAACAAGATGGAGTGGATTTGCACAAAAGTCAATGCAAGATGTCTTCCATCCGTAGGTGCCCGATTTCGAAACATCCACTGCTTTCTTGCCCCTTCCCCCACCACAGCAACAAGCTGGCCCTTGCGCGCGGGGAAACGGGGAGTGGTCCCCATTCGACTGAAATCGGCACAAGAAAGGCAGCAAGCTCGGGACAGGGAAACCAACCGCCACTGCCCAATTCGTGTGTGTGTTTCTGTGAGGCTCAGTACCCAACCAAAAAGGGAAACCGATGCCGTTCTTTAGGACACCCATTTTTGCTAGCAAGTTGGATTGGCGGCTAGAGAATTTGAACCACCAGTTGAAGCCAAAGGCAAAATGCAGTCCTTAACTGAGGCGGTCCTTAACTAAACCAACAAGCCAAACCATAGCCAAGCCAACAAACACAAGGCTGAATTAGAGCTTGAGCAGGAAATGCGCTTTTCACAGCTGAGCTGATCGACTTGTCCTTTTGCGCTTTCTTTCAAAATTGGTAAACTATACTTAACCAAACCATCACGGACTGGATAATTGTGTCACCCGCCCTCAGCGTTCTTTCATTTTGCACCTGAGGTCTGTTACTACAAACAGCTCGGCAACTACAATTAGTCTTCCATGTTCACGAGGAAATTTGGTGTCATAGTGCTTCCAAACCCGATTCTAATAACTTGGGCCCCAACAAGTACCCCTGAGTCCAGGTTGCGCAACAGGAGATACTTGGGGAGTCACCAATTGGGTACTGGGATAGAGAGTTCAAAGAGCCTTGCATATATAATCATATATACATACATATATATATATATATGTATACAAAATATGTCAAAAAGGGGTCTATTCTTGGTGCCCATTTCCGCGGCAGCTGGATCGATCCTCGCTCGGCCTCTAGCATGCATCACCCCGCAGATTCGGCAGGTGACGCCATCCTGGACAGCGGAACGGCTTGACTAGGAATCCTCAACAAAGGAGGGTAACCCGTTTTGTGGGGTTGAACATTCTCAAAGAGACCCAATTTGAAGGGAACACCGGCTCGGAGTTCGAGTCACAAAATCGGGCTGTTTGAAATAGATCGGTTCGCTGGACCATTCACGATCGATCCGGCCAAGCTCCAAGTGTGTGGCGCAGCAAGAAACCAACCAGTGGCTTCTAACTAGAATGCGCTAGTGGAAGAAAGCTTCCTCCAAACTGGCGGTTGTTCCCCGAACACTGCAGCATTATCCCTATGATTAGGGCATTCCCACAATATCACCCTCCAAGCCCAATCACCAACGCCTGCCCTCTCAAACCCATGCAACTTCACGTTCTAAATGATCACACACCTCAAACACATATCTTCGGATCGTTTGGCTTTCATAGGCCGTTCTGGTTGCTTTACAGTACTGCAATCAGCTCTCAAATGGGCGGACTCACCATGGCCTCCCGCCTATTTTCCGAATCGGAATATCAGGGGACCATGGCCTTCGAATCGGCTCCGTTTCGGGGTTGCTCCGAAACACCTGGCGGGAAGGAACCTTTCAACTGGTGGTTCCCAGGTCCAAAAATGCCAACACGTCTCCAAAAAAGGCAGTGCGTGTGTTTGCGGTGCCGGGAGTCTCATCTGTCGCCCCTCGCAAGTTGGCGGGAAACCAAAGGACCCCAATCCAAGTCTCGCTTCAGGTTTGGCCGACGGAATGAAGCGGTCCCCGGCACCATCTCACTTGCAACCAAGTTGGTGTTTCTCGATCATGGACCCCCAGAAATGGGTTTCCTAGTTGTTTCTCAAAAGATGAACCCCTAGAAATGGGTTGTTTCCTTGTGGCTTCCCTTAACTACAAGTGGGTTCACTTTGAGAAACCGCATCGCTTGTCAACAGGAGCCCTTTGTGAGATCCGCGCTTCAAACGGCAGCACAAGTCGGCACTATGGCTGAAAAAAAGGCCGTACTTTTGAGAACCCGAAATGACCATGGCAGTTCTCTCCCTGCCTTTTGGCTTGCCCGACAGGCTGACACGAAACCAGAAGGCGCCTTTTGCGGTTCGGGTTTGATTCCTTCAACAAGTGCAGTTCACTGTGGGTCTGAGGATGCTAAAGAGGGAAAGTGGACCGCGCCCACGAGCCCAGCAAGGGATGAGTATTCAGCTCGCCAACTGGCGAGCCAAGGCCAATGAGGATGTCGCTTGCTTGTTGTCTATGGCCCCAAAACGCTCCCCCAATATCCATTGCTACCTATTTCGGCGTCCGGGAAGGGGGGGGGTGCGGGGCTTGCGCCGTTGAGCCGAGCGTTCATCGGGTTGGTCAAGCTGAGGCAAAAAAAAGAGGCAGTTTGCCCCAGATCTTCGTCACTTTGTGGGTGCAGAGGATAGTTCGGTGAGGCGAAGAGCGACCAAGGCCACATCCAACCTCTCTCTTGACAAAAAGGTGAGAACTGTTTTCAGACCCTGGGTTCTTCAAACTGGGGGATCCCTAATCTGCACTCCGTAGCGGAACATCAAGGGAAATTCACGACCAGTCACTACTCATTGGCATAAGTAGAACCTTGGAAATCCCCACCATACCCAATATGCTTAGCTCCCGTTTCACATCCTCAAGCCTGAAATGCAACCAACTTCTGAGAGCTCAAACGCTCCAACCTTTTGTGGCTTCCACGGAACCGCCGGGGCGGTTTCCCCCCCAACAAAAATGCGCCCAAGGCCACCGGCTTTCGCCTGCTGGGTGGTCAGGGCCACCAGTGCGTGGCCGCTGGGGCACACCTGATTCGGAAAGGGGGGAGTAGATACCCCATGAATTCAAGTGGTAAATCACTGGCTTATTAGAAATTGGATCTATTTTTAGCATACGACCTTTATCAACTTGAGGAGGAGGCTTTCATTTTTGAAACTTAAAGGGGGGTGGTTCAAGGAGGGAGCCTAAGGAAATTTGAGGAACCCTAAGGAACCTTAGGGAAGCCTAAGCAGCCCTAGGGCTCTCAACTACCCACCGCCCTTGCACCTACCCCCTCAAAAGACTTGACCAAAAAATAGAAAATATGAGGGCGCCCCTATAGCTATGTGTCAAAATTGGGGGGGAAACCCTCAAAGTTGCGGCTCCCTTCTGGCTTCAATCCAACCTGCAGAGCTTCTGGCTTCCTCAATACTTGGCCCACATCTGGGGTGGTTCTGGTTCATATCTAGTCTACTCATTGTGTTGGAGGCGAGGATAAGACAATTCAGCAGGTAATCCCAACCCTGCACACTCAACCCTAGGGTTTTCTCATGTTCTTTGCTCATGAACTTTCGTTAGGGGCAAACACTTGTAGGATAGGACCAAACGGAATTTGGAGAGCAAGCCTTTTCATAGTGGTTTGATGAGTGCATCCAACAGTACGTGATGTTGAATATTGTGCTCAAAAAAAACATACGGACTAAGTACTATATAGACTTGGCCCACGTCTGGGGTACACAAACAATAATAATAATATGTTCAGGCTGTTTCATTTTAGACTACCTTAAGCACAAACAAGATTTGGGAACATCGACATCTCCGTTTTAGCACTCGCACACCCCTCCAGGAAACGGCGTGACGTGCAAACATGAATTATGTGTAAAACGGGAAATGGATCATTTGCACAAACATGATAAGCAAACATAGGGCCATAGGGGACCCAGAAGTGGATTGCAATTGTCCTTCTGGTTTCCCTTGAAACCAAGGGTGCCTTAAAACACACACAGCACACAACCCACATGGAACAGGAGACCCGAAACAGTTGGTGGCAGCTTTGATCGGGCTACGGCTAAGGCCTGGGGCCAAGGCTAGCTGTTGCTTCCAGGTGAACTCGCCATAAAATGGGCACCCAGCAAAAAAATATATATTTGTTGCCTGGCAAAGGGGATCCCAAAAAGGCAAAAAAACAAGGACTAATTCTGGGGAAGTGTTGAAATGCTGTCAAACAGAGTGGTTGTCCTTTCGTTGCGCGTCAAGCCAAGTCCAAAAAGGGGCGCGCCTCAGCGCTCCGCGTCTGTGGCGCGAGGCGTTCTTTTCTGTCCACCTCAACCTAGCGCGATCGCAAGAACTGTTCGCATATTGAGTCTAGAGAATCAACCTGCCTGTTCAGTTGGCTGGAAGTCTCAACTTGTAGGCCTTAAAATGAAGGCTGAAGGAAGCTATACCGTACCAAACACTTTGAGTTGCGTGCTAGCTAAGGTGAGTTCAGGTATTTCCGGGTAGTACGGTTCTCAGTTTCCGGATGCTACGGCTCTTGAAACTGTGGGCTTGGCCTGTACGTTTACTGTTGTTTTGGGGTAGCAAAGTCAGACACTGGGGTTCTTCCCTTTGACCTGCCACTTAAGGGATGACTTTGATACCTCTTGTCCGATGGGCACAACTGCGCGAGGGTCCGTGCTGTAATCATGAACTATCGCCTTTAGACTGATGGCACCGACGGGTATGGAGTATACAAGGATAGATTGGAGCATGTGCCCCAGGGCACCTAGGATTTTTCTGGATTTGTGCAAGTTGAGTCTGCCCTCGTGCTGCCTATGCAAGTATTAGCGGGCAAATATGCGCCCCCGTGCCGAAGAACGCGCCGGCCATGCTGTCGGGAGCTACTCATCGAAGTTCTTGATTCTTGCTTGACCCTGTCGTAAAAACAACATGCAAACCGACACATGTGGCCATGGGTCAAAATCCCGTACTCCCAGTGAACATCCCAATCCCTACTAAAATAGACTAAAATGGGTGGTGCACCTACCCCAAAATGGTACCATTGGTTTTGACCCACAGCCATGTTAGTAACCACAAGCATCAGTGCCCCTACTCTCCGAAAGGTTCTGAGAACTGACCTTAGAGCCCTTCTCAGAAGGTTCCAGGATCCTTTCTGGGGAGTGAGGAAGGGGCTTTGGTTCTCGCACTATTGATTGCTCTGCCATCAAAAATCATGTCTTCTTGCAGCTCAAGCACAAAGCTTCAGTGAGAAGCTGGGCTGTTCAAAATGGAGGGTTGGCCAATCCTAATCCAGAATCCCTATAGGGAAGCTACTACAAAGGAAACCCCTTGCGTCACCTAAGGAAAGGATTGAGGATTACCTTTGAACAGCCTAGGGAAGCGGTCGGCCATGAGAAACAAACTTTACCAGTGACTCACCCTGGCCAAGGCAAGAACACCACATGGCAGGCCCTCAGCCCTTCTGGATTGCATGGGCTCCCAGTTCCCTGGCAGAGGTCTTCAAAAGGAAAAGGTCCTGCATAGCCGTTGACAATCCGGCCAAGGATGAATGAACATATTGATTACCTTCGTTTACAAAGAAGGCCGCCTCAAACAACAGTCGGTTTCAAAACTCAGAGGTTCCTTTCAGCCAAAGCCAGAAGGCCCCGCTCTAAGCGTTTGGTGACCTGACATTTTGCATTTGTGACCACGTCGCTCCCCGTGAAACGGCTGAGGTTCTCGCGGGCACTTCTGCCTGCGTTGCGGTGTTTCTCCGAGAGCCACAGTGGCCACAGAACAGGCCTCGCTTTTGGTTGGTGGATCTTAAAGGGAAAAAGCAACAAAGAAAAAGGGAAATCCTGGGTGCCTTTGGGTAGGGCCTGAGGGGTTTCAAAGGAAGCCAAAGGAACCTGTCCGTAGACCCCTGGATGGGTGTATCTGAGAAGTTGGATCTATTCAACAGAGGAAAACCAACAAGGAAGCCCGCAAAAACATCCTTCACCATTGGGGGGGTCCATGAAGTTGGCCTTGACTGGGACACTGCTCGACATGGCAATAAGCTACTGTTTGAGCATCGTGGATTTCTTTTGGCCAAGACTCGAAATCAGCCCGGACACGGCTTCCTCCATTCTCCTTCAACAGCTCTAGAGCACTCAGTCGAAAGGCCAACCTACGTCGGCCATGCTCCGTGGCATTCTTCGCCTTCCCGTCGGTGGGGCTCTGACACTGCCGCAGTGGTTCCAGCGTTTGTCCAAACCACTTCTCAGCGGACATGTTGCCAGCTGAAAGCTATGGGATCTTTACCCAAGGGCTTTTTGAGGCAGGTTTCAGGGAGTTTCGGAGAGTTCAGGATCTGGGGCTGTTGGGGATGCCACCTGGGCTCATTGACTGAAAAGAGCCAATGGGTCGAGATCGTGAAACAACTTTATCGCCGGAGACATTGTTGAGATGGTGGACTGATCACTCAACCCCGTCAATCGAGCTGCTGAGCCTGTAAAACAGCCCCCGAATAGGAAGCTAAAGGGGTCTAAAGGTTTGCAGAATCTTCTCAGAAGGGGTTCTATTATTCTCAGAACATCGAACCTTTTTGAGATAAAAGGCCCTAGGAAAAACCTGTGCCTTTTCAGTCGGATTTCAGAAAGCACCCGACAGATGACAGGAAGCCAACATGAGCTTGCTTTTGCCCAAGCTGTACAGGACATGGAACCTGTCGAACCTCCACGGCAGGATAGCCCCAGTGCCCTGAAAAAGAAGGGAAGCAAAGAAGAGGTCTTTGCTGACGAGCTGAAATGTGACTGACATGTTGCTTTGGAGGAGCTGCGGGGGTTGGGCATGGTCACCACAGCTTGAATGAAATGGTCAGAGGGTTGCTCTCTTTGACCTGCACATAGGCTCTTTTGCCAGTTTATTCGGGAAAAAACAACTCTTGCAGACTCGTTCGCTAGCTTATTCGGGGGGGGGGGGACCGGGGGAAACCTTTCAACCCGAACAAACTATGCTTCCCGTGCTAGTTACTCGGTTAGTGGTTAGCAACAAGTACTTTTAACCCAACAAACTGCCCTTCCTCCCGCAAAGAAGGCCTCATCTTCCCCTGCCCACGCCCAGCCCTGGCACCTGCCTGCAGCCGCTGGCCTGCAGCCTGAAGGCCTGCAGCCTGGGTGCGAACCGTGGACGGCTGGACCCTGAAATTCCGTGGCCCGAAAGGGGAAACCGTTGAAGCCGGTCACCAACTTTCGAACCAAACGCGGGTCAGAATTAAATTGGTTTGGTGGTTTGGTACCTTCCCACAAGGTACTGGGGTTATCACCACCACCAACCCTGGGATTCAAACCACCATGAAAATCAGGGGGGCTCATATATAACCACCATCGGGTTCATATTTCTCCACCCTTCTTTACCCTTCGGGAGGGTCAAATCATCCGAATCGGGCCCTTGCCATTCTTGGAATGGGGGGTTGAACCTTAGAGCGGATGATGGCGTGATGGCGCAACTTGGGGGACAAGGACACCTCCCTGCTGCTGAGTCTGGCTAGGTTACTCGCAACATTCGGAGAATCCGCCCTAAGAAACCCTGGTTGGCAACCGGAAGCGCTGGGCAAAGGAAGAAGTGCTTGCTATGCCCAACATGGGGCCATAGGGCTCTCTGAACTCAAGCTCGAGTAAGGGCCCTCGGAAAACCAAGGCCCTCATCTCTGCTTGCGGCGTGAGCTAGGGCCCCATTTTGCTTTGTTTCGCCTGGGGGGGGTGCTCCAAAGGGGGCTCCACTGCGCCCACCCTTTCCAGGCCCAAGAAATCGTTCCAAATTGCAATTTCCGGGGAATTAAACTGCAGAAGTCTAAGCTTTTTGTGGATATTTGCTGGTGTTGAATTGATTTTTCACACATGGTTTATGGTTTGGGATTGGTCTAGTCTTGGTTCTAATATATGCTCCCTGTTCAGACTGGACTTGGGGTCGGCGGAAAACTTGCTAATTGGCTTCGTATCGGCTAATTCTGATTCAGTATTGGAAGATGTCGGGTCTGGGGAAAATAGTATTCATTAATAGGGTGCATTTATGTATTAATAGGGGCCAGTGACTATATATGAGCCCACTCTTGGCCAACAAGAGCACGCGCAAATCAGCCAACTACCAGTTTCCCCCCTTGACATGCTCAATGAGAAAGACCCCGGTCACTAATGATGCTGTAGAAACAAGCAAGGGACGCATTCAGAGTAAGCAGGAATATCACAAATTAAATCACACAGATAGGGGATTCCAGAACCGCCACTGCTCAACCCCCATGACTGATACCATGGTTAGAGCATCTGTTGCTCGCAAACATCACGCACAGGAAGCCGCAATTTGATATGACTCAACAGGGTGATGCTTGAAAAATGAGGAGCCAAGTCTGATTCCCCATTTCCATAAAGCCTCTTGAACAGAAAACTACAGAAGGACAGTTGTTGAAACGGGAAATCTAGACCTAGGACCTTGGAACTGACGGAGGCTTCCTACCATCCAGACCCAGATTGAAACGGTGAGGAAACTCTTGTGTGGGTCCCCTCAGGTTCCTTGTAACTTTGCGGGGAGTACCGGAAGGCGCTGAAGAACTGCGATGCAAACTCTCAACTTTCAATGAAACAAGGACTTCCCAAGTACGGAAGCTATGAGCTGATTCCACCCCGCGGGCGAGCTAATACACGCGTCCTTGAAGCGACCAGGACCCACAAATTGTCTCGCCAAAAATCGCTCGCTCAAAAGATGCGCCAAACAGCCAAACCCCAAAGCGAGCTCCTGGCTCGTCCCACCTCCTTGCTGGGCGCCTAACTTCGGTCCGTGGCCGGGGGTCCAGCCATGAGTTGTCTGCGTGTCCCGTGTCCCGCGATGGACCACAAGCTGGACCATTTTGACCAATTCTCATTTGGGCAAACACAAAAAACACAAGTCAAATCCGCCCCCAACAAGGGGGGAACTTCTAGGAGTTGAAGAGATTGTGCTGGTCAAGACATTGGATTGCTGGGGGCTTTGATCTACGATGACTTTGGGTTTGCTCGGAAAATGGAACCCTGAACAAAGGCCTCACTAAGACGTGTCAAGGCCAGCAGAGCTCCCCCCATCCACAGGATTCCATCTGGATGTTCAACCTGCAACAGCACCAATCATCAAAGGAGACTGAAGTGAAACGGACACTCCCAAAGGAGATCTGCAAGCCACACACACAAGGGAATCATAGGGAACCCTGACCCCTACACAAAGGTCATTTTTTGGCCCGGTCACGCTATGCTTCCCTTTACTATCGTGAGGACCCAGCATTTGTCGACGGCCGCACAGGTTTACCCCCTCCCGCAACCCCCGCCTCCCCAAAACAAGACCCTAACCAACGGCCTTTTAAGGACGCACTTTGAGGTTGAGACCTGTAACTGCTAGAGCCTCAGTGTCGTTCCGCTGGCTTTCTCAAGCCAAAACCCTGGAACATAGAAGCTCAACTTGTCTGTCCGACTTACGTCAAGTTGGCCCCACGCTTTCGGAAACTTCTGGCAACGTGGGAAAACGATCATGTTCCAAAAGGTAAAGCTTATTTCGGTCAAAACCAAAGCACGACCAAGCTTGTTACCCACAAAGACCGAGCCAACGGCCAATCAGAGCAAGATGCACCAAACATATGCACAAAATCCGCTTCGCACAAGCCAGCAAGTAGTCTAACTGTCACATTCATATGGGTGTGGGTCAAAATTAAACCAACAGGGGCCCGAAGATTTTGGTCCATGTTTCCACTTGCCAGGGTTCCATTTTGGGTACCTATTTGTGACCCACAGCCATATGTTACATTCATCCCCACTGGTGCGAAGTGGACGTCCATCCACCGTCCGGGGCTCCAGGCCCGCCCGCTCTCGCTCAGGCTGGCCTCTTTGCCCAGCAGCACCTGACGCTCTCGACACCAGTTGGGCCCAAACCTGGGCCCAAGTCTGACGTGCACAAAGACTTATTCTCAGAGTCTGGTCCATATTTTGTCGACCCTATGTTTCTTCAAAAAACAAAACAACCGCATTTGTTCTTGGAGGAGACCCCGGGCCCAGAAACAGGGTTGCTCCCATTCGACCCGATCGTCACACTGCGGAAACGGAATTTCCTCGCCCCTCGCCCCTGCTCCTCCGTTGGCCAAGGACAACTAGCAACATTGGTTGGTCTATGCCAAAACTAGACTGCTGTCTTTTAGTTAGCGACCAATTTAGGCAGCCGCACGCTGCTGCCCCCCAAGTTAGTAGTGATAGTAAAGACGTTGTCACCATGGCGCGACGCGTGACTGCAAAGCAACATGGCAAAGCAAGATGGGGGCAATTCTGAACATTCCATCGGACAGATTGACGCGTTTATTAGGTCGATGTTCTCGGTTGTTCTATCCTGGAAATTGGGACACGAAGAAGCTCAGGCGATATCCCCAACGGCATGAGCACAGATGCTCGCAGGGAACTGGCTTCGGAACTACCAAGTGCATCCCTGAAACTCGCCATGAATCACCGGGATTTTCTTTGGGCCCCACGCACCCTTGGAATCCACCCGAGAACTGCAAAACCTAATTTGATTTTCTAGTTTCGGGGCTTGATTTTCTCTGAGGAACGGCCAAAACAGCAACCCTTGTTGCGGGTGCACACATGTGTCATTGCCAAAACTCTATGTTTTTTCAAGTTGCCTTGCCTGGTAATGGTAAAAGATCTGTGCCATGGTAAGAAATCCTGTGGGCCATGGTGATAGCTGCCTTAGCTCTTACATTGGTTGTCCGAGTTTCCTCCACCAGCCCTGGAAAGCCCAAGTATCTACGGTTGTTGGGGGTTCACAGAGATCGGGATGAGAGCGGATAGCACAAGTTTCCCCGAGACTTGCAAAGGCGTGTCAAGGCGAACGGACATGATATGGAAAAGCAAGCGCCAACGCCACCCCCTAGCCCAGATCGCCGCTTTCCAACCAACTTGTTTGGCCTTCTCTGGCGTTTGCTAAGAATTTTTGGTTTGAGCCCCGCAGCTTTGGGGGGGTGTCTTTGTGCGGTGAACTTCCCTGGCGCGGCAACCAAGTGAAAGCTCGCCCTCTGCTAGGTAACACTTAAGAGAAGAATACACACGCCAGGAAGAAGTGCGCGCAGGCGGCTGGGAAAGAGACATGTTCAAAACCAACAGCGTGTCCCCCGCGAGTTTCGGTATCTCGGACGCAGTTGGAGCCCAACAGCCGCCAAGTTGCCACCAGTGTGTGTCTGCTGGCTCAGGTATGAGGAGCTTGTTGACGAGTGGATGAACATGACTCCGGTAGAACCATCAAAGGGGCCTCACCTCAAGAACAGGCTGAGCGGCGACGCCCTTCGGATCCAAGGTTGTGCTTTGGAGGCTCAGGGCATGGAATGGTTTGATGCCAGCAGCGCAGGCACAGCAACCCGCCAGTGACAGCCTGATAGCCCAGCTCTTTATCATCCAGCGCGAGCTCTCCGACCAACAGCGAGAGAGATTGACTGACAAATGTTCGGCAAAATCACGGGGACCAGTCCAGGACCCCAATCTTCGAGCAGGTAGAGGAACAAGACAAATAAGAAGATTGCGACTGGGCTGAAGATGAAGGCAAGGAGGGCCAAGGAGGGTTTCATCGGGGACGAAGACAAAGAGACTTTTGGGGTTCTCGAAGATAATGATGTGTTCGCCGTCAGAAGAGTGTCAGGGCGGGTTTGTGCACTTGGCAGACGACAAGGAAGATCAAAAAGTAAGAGGGGCATCTCCAACGAGGTGGTTTCTGACCCTTCAAGAGAAGCACGGGAAGGTCAGCCTGACCGACGACAACGTCAACACCGATCAGGCAACAGCAAAGGAAAGACACATGCAACAACGAGAAACGAAAAGGCGGAAAGGACGAGGACAGAGGAAAGTCCAAGGGATTTGCCGCCAGCGCATAACAAGGGCACTCAGCAGGCCGCTCAGATGACGCATGGGATAGACAAGCACCGGCCTTGAGCCCATGTTGTGATGTAAGATGTTGCGTGAAGGTCAATCACTGTGAAAACACAGAAGCCCCCCCCAATCCGCCGACCCCATGCCTGGTCCAGAATGGACCATGCTTTCGGCATGGGGGCGGTGTGTTCTGTGTTGCTTTTGTTGATATGCTTTCTATAAGTTTAATGTGAATATGATTATGTAGATATATATATATATATATATGTATATATATATATACATTTGTATAACCTATATGTCCCTTGGGGCGGCCCTTGGGGCTGGTTTCTACGTCGGCTGGATTTCTGGATTTCTGGATTTCTGGATTTCTGGATGTCTGGATCTCTGGATTTCTGGAATTCTGGATTTCCCCCCCCCCCCCCTTCCCCCCCCCCCTCCCCCCCCTCCCCCCCCCCCTCCTCCCCCTCCCCCCCCTCCCCCCCTCCCTCCCTCCCCCCCCCCCCCCCTCCTCCCCCCCCCTCCCCCCCCCTCCCCCCTCCCCCCCCCCCCCTCCCCCCTCCCCCCCCCCCTCCCCCCCCTCCCCCCCCCCCCCCCCTCCCCCCTCCCCCCCCCTCCCCTCCCCCCCCCCCCCCCCCCTCCCCCCCCCCCCTCCCCCCCCCCCCCCCCCCCCCCCCCCCCCCCTCCCCGCCCCACCCTCCCCAGGTCTTCCGCCTTCTTCCCGTAATCTTCCGTAATCTTTCGGCTTCTTCCAGTAGTCTTTCGTAGTCTTCCGGCTTCTTCCCGTAGTCTTCCGTAGTCTTCCGTAGTCTTCCGTAGTCTTCCGTAGTCTTCCGGCTTCTTCCCGTAGTCTTCCGAAATCTTTCAAGCTTCTTCCCGTAAATTTCCGCAATCTTTCGGCTTCTTCCCGTAGTCTTCCGTAATCTTCCGGCTTCTTCTCCTAGTCTTGCGATACTGTTTCGGGACCAAACAACGCGCGTGTCCTGTGCTTTCGGGCTTCTTCCCTAGGCTTCGGGTAGTCTTCCCCCACCCCTCCGCCCCCCCCTGTGTCTGTCTATGTCTGTCTACGTATCTGCATCTGTCTTCGTGTCCGCGAAGACCCCCCCTGCCCCTGCGTGTCTGTCTGTGTCTCTTTGTGTCTGTCTGGGTCTGTCTGCGTCTGTCTTCGTGTCCGCGAAGACCCCTTGCGTGTCTGTCTCTGTCTCTTTGTGTCTGTCTGTGTCTGTCTGTGTCTGTCTACGTATCTGCGTCTTTCTTCGTGTCCCCCCCCCCGCGTGTCTGTCTGTGTATTTGTGTCTGTCTGGCTCTGTCTGCGTCTGCCTGCGCATCTGCGTCTGTCTTCGTGTCCGCGAAGACCCTCCCCCCCCGCTGCGTGTCTGTCTGCGTGTCTTTGTGTCTGTCTGTGTCTGTCTACATATCGCGTGCTTTCTCTCGTCCCGGGCCGAAATTCTAAGGTGTGTGGGGGCGGCGGAACCAGGCCGCAGGCCATTAAATATGAAAAGTTCTCCCCCCCACAGGGAGGTATCGTTGACTTTTCAATCCCACTCCAGAAGGTTGACTCAAGAACGGCTCACACATTTTTTGTCAAGCAACCGACCCGTTTCGCAGCCCTTTTTTTGTCGGGTTCCTTCCGAGAATGTTGAGATTATCGCGTTTTGGGAGAGGCAGCCCCGCTGGGCTCCGACCTGCAGCTGCTGCCAGCGACTGCCCAGCAGGCCCACCTGGCCCGGAACTCCTTTTGAAGGAACCTTAAGCCCAAAAAGGGCAATATACGTTTCTGGCAAAAACTGAAAAGTTTGTCTTTAGTGGGATATGCCTTGGGACGGGCATTGGCCTCTTTGTCTGTTCCCGGAACTATTCATAAACGTGGTCCTACAGTGGCTGAAAAATTGCACCAATCAAAATGTTTTCAAGGAACTACGCATAAACTGGCCTAAAATAGCCCAAACTCCAGATGTTAGCGATTGCAACTTTTCCCTGTTCCGCGCCTCTGCTCACAGCGAGCACTAGCTAGTTGCCAAAACTAAGGACGGTTCATTTCACAGTCTCTTGCGAAGAGCACCCTTTTTTTGAAATTGGTCAACGGGCGGTCTGTTCGATCGCCTCGGCGCCTGTAGTGGCAGCAAAGCAAAAACAGTCCATGTCATGTGTTTGGGGATGGCAGTTTTTGGTCACACTCCATCCACCAGCGGGCTGACTCCATGGGACACATCCAGACAACAGGAGCTGCAGCACAAAGCGCCATGACACTCCGCACTCCCGCCCTGCACTTGTCCTGTGGGCTGACTTCAGCGCCTCTTGCGCTTCTCAAATGCTCGGCGAAAACTGGTGGCAGCAAAAAAGGCCAGGCATCCCGTTCTGGGTCACAACCTGACACTCCGGACTCCGGCCCATTTGGGTCACACTAGCATCCTCAAAACCTGGCACTCTTGCCCTGCTGGTGGAGCAGGCTGATTGAAAATCTTTGTTGGGGTGGCCTGCAGGCATGCACAAAACCTGGACTCCAATGGATCAGCATCTCAGCACTTCCCTATGCAAGTGGCAGCACGAAGGTAATGTGGGCCAACATGCGTTTGTGTCCTCAGCAAGCTGACTGCATCTCAGCTCCTCTTGCACTGCTGCGCGGCTCAGCCAGTGGGGCGCCCGTCACGTATTTGGGGTTGTCCCTTGCGTAACCTTGCCCACCCTGCCCTGTGCTGCCCACTACCCGCCTCATGCCAGGACGCCAAGCGGTTGCTCAAACCCGCCGGAAGGACCAAAGTAACCAAACAAATCAAAGGACCTAAGTAGCCAAAGCAAATAAAATAAACCGCCCAATTGCAGGCAGTCACGCTTGACCCTTGGGTTCCCGACCCAACCCTGGCTGCAGCCGCTGCCAGCAGGTCAGCAGCGAGCAGGGGCCAGCTAGCCACAGTTCTGAAGAAAGTGTTTGCCCCAGGTTAAACTTTCAAGGCTTCACATCAGGTCCAGCTCAGCTTCATTTTCAGTGACTTCGTGACCTCGCTTCGCACCCCGCTGACCCTGAGGGGTCTGGCTGGAATCATCTTGATCTGCAATCCATGCTGCATGCTGCAGATGCAAACCGCGGGTCCAAACCTCATCATGCTGCAGCATCGAAGATCCGCGCAACATCATGCAACCCGTAGTCTGCAATCTCTATTCTGTAAACTGTAAACTGCTGCATCTGCAATCTGCTACTCATCGCGGGGTTGGCCTGGCTAGAATTGTAGTCGTTGATAGTACCACAAGGTCCGGTCAGTGGATTGTGTTTCTTTGAGGGTGCCGCTTTCTAAGGTTGGTTCAAACCAGGAAACTAAAAGGAACACAGTTGTGAGGTTCCGCGGATTTCCCCACCCCTAGAGTTAGGAACAGCTCTCCGCAAATTAGGAACAATTTACAAATAGTTCTGTGTAATTTAGAAATGGTTCTGCAACATGGCAACCTCCCTCACAGAAAGCCGACATGAAGAGGCCAATGCTACTCCCAACATATGCCATTAACCTCTCTCAATTCTGGAAGTCTTCAAGTTTAAAGGAACTGTGTGGCTGGGAATTGTCACATCCTAAAGTCCTAAACCCCAAAGTCAGGGCCGTTTTCCCACCTTGGACCCACCCCCTGGTTGACACGATCACCTAAGCCAGGGGAGCCTGCGAAAAACAAAAGGATTCAACCCCCCTTCTCCCGTTTGGTTTCCTCCAAAGACATTAATAAGGCGGTTTGCGTTGGGTTCATATTTTGGGAAACATGGCTAGGTCTATGTAAACCTTGAACGTCAACTCGAAAGGAAACCAAACATAAGCCACCAACAGGTCGGATGATGGTTAACTAACTACTCCTCCTTTTTTAGTCCGAACTTGATGGGTACTGAGGAGAAGCAAGACGATAAGACGATGGGTGTGGTTCTCTTTCGGAGTCCGGCATGGTGCGAAGCCACCTTTCTGAGCAGGGTTGTGGGGAATGACCACTTCTGTGATACAACAGAAAGGGCTTCCCAAAGACTCTTTTGTTCTTATAAAGGGGCTTTCCCTTGTATCACAGAAGTGGGGAGAAAGAAACCCCTCGATCCCACAACCCTGTTTCTGGAGTTTAAGTGTGTTCCCAAGATGCGACAGCCCCATCCTCAAGCTGACGGGCTCACTGGCGCTGATCATGGCGCTTACCTTCTTCTTTGCCGGGCTGGCGGTTGGGAAGGGGGGGGGGAAGGGGGGAGACTACGACTCTGGAGCTTTACTTGGGATTCCCTCTTCTTCTTAGAGAATGCTTGTTCCCAAAGCTTCATTTCCCAACTTTTGCAGTGGTTGCCATGCCCACCAAAATGGGGAGGCTTCTCGAAATGACGAGCCCTACAAAACGGGGGACTGGGCTTCCCTTTGACACAGGATTGCTATGGTTGTCTCCACGGCACAGAGGCTCGACGGCTTCCAGGCTAACGACTTGAGCACTGGTCTAAGCCTCTCAAGGCTCTAGAATGGGCCGCGCTTTGAAACCAAGCTCGGAAATTGTAGTAAAGGAGTAAAGAATTAGACAAATCAACTCTAAGTCCCCGGAATTTCTGGTGATCAAAGGAGTAAAGAATCAGAGTATATAGAGGCCCTTCTTTTAACTGGCGCGGTCTCCTTGCTTGGCAAAGCACCGGAGGTGGACTTTTCTGTTTCAAGGTACCTAGCTACACCACCAAGCCGCTTGCCCGCGTTCCATCAGCAACTCCAGAAGGGCGAGAACAACCAAACATTTAACAAGTTGCTACCAGGCCATCCTTCCATTATCTTAAGGAGCTACAGTTGTTTCACAAATATCTGCTAATCATGAACCAGCAGATCTCAAACCAGATTCGCCTTAGGCAAACGAAAGACGGCCTCTGAGAGTCCAATGTGTCAAAACCACGAAAACCAGCATGAGCTAGATACATCAATCGTATCTGCGACGATTCCAAGTTCCAATGTGTCCCCTGCACATCACCCCATCAAAAGCGAGCTCCATCACTGGTGATGCTTAAACCACCCGAAAAGAGAAGTGCAAGTTCGCATGCGCTTGAGATGTCCACCAAAAGAGAACTAAATCCTAGTCACCACTATGTCAGTCTTTAACAGCAACATGTGAACAAGAACACACCACCGTAAGCCAAATCATGTTTTACAATAACTCCTTTAAGGTCCCCCTTGAACATGACCCATCAAATAGCTTGTTCTCACTTGGCCCAACGTATAAGTTTTATGGGATTAAGGTCGCCTGCAAGATGTATACATTGGGTTTAAACAAAACGTTTTTCCCACCAACGAGAAAAAAACACTTCAGCAAATGAGAGTTTGACTGGGTGCAACGCAGGGAGCCCCCGCTGTCAGGTTCTGTTCCTTGGAGGGGACCGCCCTTTGGAAAAAATCCGCCTGCTGGCGGATGCCGCGGATGTCTTGCACCAAGACCACGGAGGGATCTGTCGACTCCTCGCCCCCCCGGCAGACGTTTCGCTCGTTTGGGTCCGGCTTTGTTTGAGCGAAAATTCATTTCGAGGCTGAGCCAAATGGAAATGAATCTAATGGAAAATGGAAACTTTCATTTGAGGGGAAACCAAGGGGAAACACGCAACGTAACGCATCCCCTTCGGGGAAACCACATTTTGAGCCAAAGGGAAACCAAAGGGAAACATGTTTTGCCGCTGTTTCCCCGATTGCCCCCTAAAACAAGTACCCTGTTTGGGTATTAAACTGGAAATCCCAATGTCTCTGTTGTTCTTGCTGCAAGCCTTAGGGAAGCCTTTGAATGGCAGGTTTACCTTCAAGCCCAAACATCCCCAGGTGCCGCCACAAACCCGTGCTTGGCAATTCAGTTTTTCTGGGCTGTCTGGAGGGAAGACATGGACCCAAAGCTGTAGAAGCCCAACAGGTTCCCAGCAAGACCACCCATGATCGATATCAGTCCATGGTGCTACAGGCGGGCGTGAGATGACGCAAATGGTGCACAAAGTGAGGGCGAAATAAAAGGAGAAAGGGCGCCCAACCGCCGGCGGCGGTCTGGCATCGGCGTTGCCAAGTTATTCACCGGCGCCCCTTCGAGGATGCTTGTGCTTTCAATCGCCAAGTCGATGGACATCTGTCACACCGAATAAACTGGCAATGATGCCAATCATCGTTCCCGTTCCACTGGTAATTCTGCCAGTGAATCTTCATGAGATCCCAAACTTTGAGTTTGAACTCTTTGCCCGTACGATATCTCAATCCTCTAGATATTTAAAGACACTTTCAAGGACACCCACCAGCTTTGAATTCAAGTGGCCCTTTTTACATCTTGCGTGTGTGTTTTAAAAAGCTCCACAAGCTCCAAACATTTTTTGGCACGGCCCACGACCCCAAGCCTCGGAACTTCTGACACGACCCGCGACCCGCTGGCGTGTCCTGATAGCCTTTGATCTTTGGGCCCTCGGAGGCGAACCACCTGGGCGCAGGCGCGCGGAAAAAGTGCGCGGCGCAAGGCGCGGGGCGGATTCGGATCGGGGGGCTTCCCTCGAAACAAAGACCAAATTCCGCGCTTCAAATGGGTAGATTGAATAGGGGCGCCCCAAAACATGAGTGGCTTCCTCTTTGTATTTGTTTTCTGAAAATCAAGCTCAGAAAGGAGTGCCCTCAAAAGAGAACACGCAAATTGATTGGGCTTTCTTAGGCCTCGACATTAGCCCTCAAAAATTGGTTCCGGCGTGCTTCTCTTAAGGCGCCGCTGAGAAATAGCAGAGCTACAAGTCATGCCCATGTCCGTTTATATCCAGCAGGATTGCTCCCACTTGACATCAGGGTGAAAATTTGGGCCCTCGTCTTCTTGGATCGGTAGCAACCCCAGTGGCCCTAGTGAACAGTCGTGGACCCTGATCAACTGATGTATCCAAGCTCCAAACTTCGCAAAGCCACACTTGGTATATGGGTGCGAACTTTAAATTGGGGACCCTTTGGTAGACATCGTTTAGGCTTGGATTTATGTCCACCAAACATCGTTTCCAGGTTCCAAGGTGCTCCCTATCAAACTTCCCAGCCATACTGCCATGGCAGAGCTGCCCCAATGTCTCTGGAAAAGGACAACATGCCCCATTTTTGTTATGGTCTGTGACCAGAATGAAAACGAAGGCATTGCCCCTTTTTAAGGTGTATCGCAATGAAGTTTATCCTCCCTTGGGGCGTGGCCATGTAGAACTTGGGAGCAACCCCGCTCAACCCTTCACCGCGAATAAAAATAGTGTCTGTGTTCATCACTTTAGTTAAGAAGTCCTTGATATAAGATGGCACCAAACGTTGGCCCAGGAATATTCTGAGAAGGTAAGGGCTAATTTGGTTTGAGGGCACGTGTGGGTCCCTTGAGTCGGACTCAAATCTACGTGGGTGGTGGCATCCCTGAGGGGTTGAGGACAGTCCCCCACTTCAGGGAGTTACGCCCTTGGCTCATATGGGCGCTCTCTCTCATAGCGGAACTCACACCTGTAAGCCCTCAACACAAGCCGGGGAAGTCTGAGCACAAGCTATTGGTTCTTCCGGAGCTGGCAATAGCATCACTCTCTGCCCATGAGGCAACAAACAAACTGTGACAAACAACCTCAACCGCAGCCCAACTAGGTTTGACACCGATCCATATTCCAGTCGATCTATTTATAACACTTAAGCCAGTTGAACTAATAACACTGGTTGATGGCCAATGTTGGCTGAATTTCCCTTTGATGATGTCACGCTCATGTAAGAACTCCGGATGAAGACTTGACTTGCAACCGTCACATCTGCACTTCCTAACCACTATAGAGTCACCATGCTACAGTAAGGCACCCGAGCTCGTCTTACCCCCAAAGTGAGCTCGCCATGATCAGCTCAGAATACATCAGCCCAAACCGCAAGACACATTGTTGGTCCCCTGAAAGAAAAAATCGTGCTTCTCCACTGGTGAGAACCATATAAGAGGCTTTTGTTTCTAAAAGAAACGGCCGCCACCTGCGGGGTAGCAGAAGATATTCTCTTCAAGAAGCAGGTTTCCTGACAAGACGCCATGGCGTGGGCAGGGATTGATTTACTAAGGAGATCCTCAACAACTGGCCCAAAGGTATCTTATAAGGGGCCCTGTTTCAGATTGTCTTATACATCAGGTCAACATGGCAGCTCTCAGAACCCAAACTACGGACACCAGGTGGCCTACATATCGTGTTTGTCAAACGATTCCTGAACATGTTCTTGATTGACATTTTGGGGTTTGAAAGGGAAATCCAAAGCAACACCATGCATGTTAGTTTGTCGTATTTTCAAAACCCGGCAATCCCCCTGTAGACTACTCCCATTGCCAAGTAGACGACAGTTGCCTGACCCCGCATATTGCGCTGCAAAATGGAACGTCGCCTCACGTTGTTGAGCGATATCCAACTTTTACAAGGGTAGGTGAGCGATTTTTCGGCCCAAGGAAACCTTTCAGAGGCTGTGGCTGGTGGATCTTTGTTGCGAAGTCCTCCGCTTGCGCCATGTTCTCCTCGGCTCAAGTCTCCAATTTCCACATTGGAAAACGCTTCTTGGGGCCTCAAAAGGAGACACGTGATGTAGAACAATCAAGCGGTGACACATACCATAAAACAATATTGGCTTCGAGCGAAGATTTGCGTTGGCTAGTAAGTCTATGGTTACATGAGTTCTGAGGAGTTTAACTGGGTAAGAACATGTGGGACATATTGATGTCATGTTGCCAATGCCTCACTTGGCATTGTGTGGACCTTCTTGCGCCTTGCAGATCATGAATTGCCCTTCTGCGGGTTGCGGCGCCCACCAAAAGGCGCAATGACTGCTTGACCCACAACTGGAGTCTCAGGCGTGACCCACCCATTCAGGCAAATCTCCGAAGCCGTCTCGTTTTGTTGCCTTCTCTTCACTGTTCGCAGGGAGTAAGGCTCATTCTCCAGTCCTTGGGTAGGCTAAAGTTGTGTTTGCATGAGCAGACCCTATCTCAGACCGCTCCAAAGGCATAAACTGTGTGGGGGTGGACTCCCAAGCTCAGTGTCTGTTGCGCCGTAGGATTTCGTCGTAGCCCGAGCTGCCCGAATTGCAGCAGCTTGTTCAACGCTCCCTGGTGTAGATTCACCGTTGTGCCTGGAGTCTGTCCCCCCCGTGTTGTCTTGTGCGAGAAGGCCAAATGCGACTGCCTCAAAAATCGCCGGCGGGGATGCTTCGCTCAATAGATGGGTGTCTTTTTGTGAGGCTGATGTTGTTTTAAATGGGAACCAACTGGAAACCACTGAGAATGAGGTTGGTGTTGTAACTATTTCGTCTGGGCAGTCCCTAAGGTCAAACAGCAGTTCCAACATTTGGGCTGCAAACACCTATTGACAAAAGCTCGAACGGGACCCACAGCGTGCTCATCTGGACCATCCGCAAATGCATGGTTGCCAAAGGAAGGCTAAAACGAGGGAGTCTTTGATTGAAAGCTTTCTGAGTGCTGTCCAGGGGAATCAAAGGAAAACTGCCCAGTTCAGAGCCAAAGTCCTCTTTTCGAACACATGTTGCCAAGAAAGCGGATCGAAATCGAACTCAGGCTATCCAAAAAGACGAGGATTAAACCAAAGAAGGGAACTCAAGTCGGGCACATTCGAAAAGTCAGCTTTCCAAAAGTCAACCCTGCACCCCAGCAATAGTTCTTTGGACCTTCTCAGAAGGGGTTCTGATCAAATGCTTATGCAAATTTTCTGGGGCGAGGAAGGGGGGGGCCATACGGGTCCCGTCTTCTGTTTCTGTTCGATCAAAAGTACTTATGCCACCCCTGCCACTCCAAAACTTCCCCCGCCCAGTTTCCAATGTGATGCTTACGCCCTGCTGGACAGGCGCGCCTTTCTGGCTGGTCGATGGAAAATGGCCCGCACCTTTTGGAGGTTCAATGGAAAAAACATGTGTTCCCGTGAAGGTCATACCAACGACCAGCCACAGGGGAAACCTTCCGGGAACCTTTCTTTTACACCCTAGTCCTTATACCATGAGTTCCCCTGACCCTTTCAATAGATACCCGGAATCCCAACCCCCCCCCCCCCCTCCCCCGCACTTCTTAACCTTAATGGTTTGTTGATCCGTCGCAAAAAGTGATCAACTTATGGGATCTGGCATAAACACTAAGCCAAAAGTCTAAGGACCCGCCAAATTACATTATTTCCCTTGCACTCACAAACAACTGCCCCTGGTGAGGCATCCAACTTGTATCCCCTTAGGCAAAATCATGCCCTTGTTTGGCATCCCGTTTGCCCCTAAACTTCAAGAAACCGGCAGGACATTCTACAACGTTGGTTTTGGTGAACATGTGAACACACCCTGTCTCTCAGATGCCCAGTGGCCATGGGGAAAAATATATCAAACTCATCCTTCTTTGGCGGGTGGAAAAACCAAAAGCACAAACAGGGGGGCGGCGCTGGGCAACTGGGCTGTAGAACTTCCAACCCGTTGGTTTCCCTTTGGCTCCCCTTTGGTTTCCCTTTGGTTCCCCTTTGGTTTCCCTTTGGTTTCCCTTTAACTTCTTTGACCTCGGGTCTCCACGTCTGGCGCGCTCGCGCGCGTCGAACCCAAACTCTGGGCGCGGTGCCGACAGGGCCGCAAGCTGCGGGCTTGCGGCTTGGGCCTGAGATGCTGGGCTTGGCACGCCCGTGCCAGCTTTGGGAAAAAAAGGTACACGTAGAAATATAACTACTTCTGTATAGAGATATACGGATGTCTAAATCACAGAGGCCCACAAACCTGGATGCAGAAATATACTAGCACACAAGTAGAAGTATAACTACTTATGTATAGAGATAATACGGATATACGGTGATATACGGATGTCTACATGTGTAAGTTTGTATACAAATCACAGAGGCCCGCAATCCTGGATGCGGAAATGCTCCAGCGCAGCCCAGCGGTATCTCCTTGCCAATCAGAGCACCTGCTCCATGACTTGCAAGGGCACCTACGCAGCACTGCGTATTTGCCGAATGATAAGAACACGGGCTTGCCAAAGGAATAGAACACCCGCTCAAGTGAGCCCGCGCAGCGCTGAATATCTGCTTGCCAAATTATAAGAACACCTGCTCAAGTACACCCGCGCAGCACAGCAGAACACCCGCTCAAGTGCGCTCGCGCAGCAGCACAGCTGCCTGCCAAAAAAATGCCGATTTCTTTAAGGCAATTTGGGCATTCTTGCCATTTGGCAGTCCCCCGGAGCTGCACGTCTCCCTTTCGGACCGACAAAGTTTCCAGCTTGGGATAACCAAATTTCGGAATCGGGGCCCCAAGGTTCTGAATCGAAGCTTCTGAGTCGGAGGCCCAAGATTCTGAAACGAAGTTTGTGAACCGGGGCAAGTTTCTGAAGTTCATGTTCCTTAAAAAAAGGACACAAGCAAGGGCCACCTGCTTCACACGGGAATATTTCTAATAGCTGGTAAAGGTGATGTTCAATTTGGCCCGCATGTGCCCTTTTGAGGCACCCATTCACCCGGTTGGCACTCTGCCCCGCTCTGCCCCGCCGCTCGGGAAACGCACGCCTCTGAGCGTAGCTGCGCGCTTTGCTCGCAGCTGGCCTCTCGATCTGATCTGCGGGCGCTCCGGTCATGAGGGTGTGGTTGGGAATTTGGGGCGAACAAAAACCAAAACTGTCGCTCTACCACGTCTCGCCCCACAAACATAAAAGTGCGGGAACTCGGCGAGTCAGGAGACCTTGGCTGGATGTGATTGAAGCTGACTGAAGAATTTGCAATAATTCCGAAACCTTTTGCAGACCTTTTGCGTGGTGTCTCTCCCTCCCTGCCTCCCTGCCACTGATAAGGAGGCATGTCCACGTTCCCCTGATACACGAATCCAGCCTTTACAGGGGCCTTTCAACAAAAGATGAGACTCAGAAATTCCCAACTTATAAGCTGTTTGCTTGGGAAGCTCCGACTCGACGGCAAATCCAGCGGGGTTGGCACGCCCCAACACGCAGCCCTGGGCCTTTCTGTTGAGAGTAAATTCCTTGGTTGTTTTCTGGAAAGATTTGGGCCCCCGAGAAGAATGCAGTAAATCTAGAAGATTGGTACTCAGTGGCCCCTTCTGGGACCAAAGGGTCGCCGTTGCGTAACCTTGAAAGGGGGCAAACGCTCAGTGACCTTGGTAGAAAAAGGAACCTTTTCGGGGTTCGAAAAAGGAACCTGTTCGGGGTTCATCACCTTGGCGGGAACCACAAAAGGGAAAACAGGGTGCGACTCAAAAGGGAATGGTATGTCGTGCATTCCACTCCCAGGATCTGCTGCGCACGTTCTTCCCAGATAGCGCGAGCCCGACATGCAAGGGGCAACGCTTGATGATCTTCCCGATCCGATCTTGGAAGCCTTGTTTTCACCTGAACTTGCTCAAATTCATTTCAACCTTGATCTACCTGCGGCTTCCCATTCACCTTGTCGCGCTTCTTCCGGCGTCCACACATTTGGTCAGTCTATGCATACTCGCTGGGTGGGCAAAGGGGTACACGACGCCTAACGTGGTTTGGATGGATTATAATGGATTATGATGGATTTAAATGCCAGCCAGAAGAGCACCAATCATTTTGGGGGCTGCCCCATTCTCACAAGCCCATGAGTCTCAAGATCCGCTTTCAGTGGCCCCAAAAAGGCAAAGGTTTCCATTTCTAGGTCCTCCAGAGAGGTCAGAATAAGGGTGCCCTTTTTTCTGTAGTCTATTTTAGTAGGGGAACCCTCCCAACCAAAAAAGAAACGGTGAGAAAGGGCACCTAGCTGGGGGACCGTTTCCATTTTCTCCTCCATTTTGCGAAACCTACACACGCATCCCGTTTCTTCCTCTCTGGGGCCCCCGCAGGCTGCTCCCAGCTCGGCGCCTCTTGGGTCACCTGCTGCGTTCGTTTGCGTGTTTGGGGCCTATCTGGGTATGGGTCAAAATTAAAGAACCCTAAACCCTAACCCCTAAACCCCTCAACCCCTAAACCCCTTAACCCCTTAACCCCTAAACCCCTAAACCCCTTAAACCCTAAACCCCTCACCGTTAACCCCCACCAGGGCTGAGTACGGAATTGCGTTGGAATGAACCGGAAGGGGATCAACCCGCAGGGCAGCCCTGCCCTCCTTGGTTTCAGTTTGGGTTGCTGTGCAAAACACGAAGTTGTGGTTCTGAGCTCATGAGGGGCGTGTGCCGCGTGCCACTTCTTCTTTCATGCAACCACATATGATTGCAAAGCGGGTGCAGTAAAAAAAGCATCTCACCGTGCCTACATGTTGCGAACGCGCCGGGAAAAACGGAAGCGGAGCAAAGGGAGCCACCCTCGCAAAAAAAAAAAAAACTAAATTATGTGACCCCCGCCGTCAACATCCAACAGCGCGCACCATCAATATTAACCATGGCTGAAATGGGACGCGAGCTTGGTTATTCATTACAACCACTGACCCCATATTCATCGACCCCAGTATATCATTGGAGGGTCCCTGGGTTTACTGGGGAATCACCACTTTTGGAGGACGCGCCTATTATTCGACTAGGGTTGATTCATATATGGGGTCCACATCAACACTGAATGCCAGACATTGATCATGCCAATGGCCTTCTCGCGCTCCACCTGCACTGCCCGCTGCAGGGAGACCAGGTAGTTCTGCAGCGCCTGACTCGCGGGAGATGGCGTGGATGTCGCGGGCGGGTTTTCGGGCGGGTTTTCTCGATCTGGCGAACCTGCCAGATGGGCACGTTTCTTAAAGCCTGAAAGAGTTTCAAGGACACGTCCAACAAAGCCGAAGACCACAGAGATCTGAAAGACACTGACCCACAAACATGGGTATGGGTCAAAATGGGTGGACCCAAACAACCCACCTCAATAGGGTACCCTGAAAAAGCACTTTAGCCCACGTCTGGGGTACACAGAAAGCATGTGTTCAGATTCTGTTTCATAGATACAGTCTATCCCAAAATGTAAAATGGCTTTGGAGGCAACAGCAAAGACGGATTGGCCGCCCCGCGAAAAAAGAAAAAACACAAAACAAACAGCAACTTCTGCTGATTAGAAGGGAACATGCAAGAGGCGAAATTTGAAAAGGCAAGCTATGTCTGGTACTGCAAAGGCATTCACTAAACAGGGTTGATGTTCAAGGGGAACCCATCAAACACCGTTGAATTCAATTGTCCCGTGAGTTTCATTTAGCGCACCACTCACCCCTCGCAAAGGGACCCTGAGTCTCGCGTTGCGGATCCAACACCTTGTGCAATTGATCGCTACCAAACCGGCAACGTCGGACTGTGCCGTCTAACGTTGCCAGCGCAAAGAACCCGCAAGACACACAAATAGTTTGCACCACAACAAACAAGACCATCTCCCCTCCCCCCAAAAAAACAACAACAACAGAACAAAAAAACAAACGAAAGAGAGAGAGAGAGAACAGTGGTACTGCTGGCCTTCTCAATGACTGATTTTCACTCAAAAGGGAAGGCTCCCAACCCTGGTGACCGGGCGTAGAAATACGCCAAGTTTTGGCAACTCGGAAGACCACTTTGAACTTTCCCTCCAAACAAAAAAGCCATGCTTGCGGCTTGTCTTTTTCGAGCAAGACATCATCAACATTACGCTCTATTCAGAGGCTTAAAGCAAAACAGAGTAACTTTGAGTCTCAAATGTTCACTTTACCGAACGCAGCTTTAGACAACCATGACACCCAAAAAATGGCGGCGCTGCAAACCTGACATGTTCCGAGTTCGATTGATTAACAAATTCAGTGCCCCCAATGGACCGGAGCCTGTGCGCACGAAACACACGCCTCCAACTGATGTGCCTTGTTCGCCAGGTCACTCCTCGGATTTCGCTTCACTGACGCAAGGGACATGGTAGAATCGGCGCCAGTCCCCCGGTTCCTACTTGGTTTTTTTGTGTTTGGGAAATTGGTTCTTGATTTTTTTTGTGTGTGGACATTTGGCTCTCGTCTTTTTTTTGGTTTGGAAATTTGGAGCATCCACTTGTCCCTGCCAAACTCGCCATTAAAAAGAAGAAAAAAAGCCGCAGGAGGAATAGGGTTGGGCCAACCCCCTCCTTAAACAAGTGGTTCGAACAAACTCCGTTGGCCAACCCCTTTTGAAAGGGGTCCAGGGTCTGGTTGCTTAACCACATCTTGCACCTGCCTTGTGGGGGAGGCGGGTGCAATTGTAATCATGCCAACACCGGCATCCCCAAGTAGAGGATCCTTTTGTTCTGGTAATTTCGTTCTACTTCTAGGTGAGCTCGCCATAAAATCAGAACAGACATTGGGCCCCCGCCACCCCCACCCCCAATAACTTTCGAAGGGGGGATAAAATCTCCAGCTTGCCAGGTATCTGGTCTGCTGGAATAGAAACGAGACCCCAACAAAACCATCACTGACGTGCGCTTAACTCTGATGCACAACAAGCTTCAGCTTTGTCTCGAGTCTGTGTAGCATGTGACAAAAGACACCACTCACGACCTGGGCAGAAAATCAGAGATACTCGCGCGAAAAGAAGGGGACCTTATGAAAGCCAACCCGCCGGCACATCTGAGATCTGAGGGCTGCACTGCTGCTCCGCGGTGGGTAAGTCCAAGCGAGGGTCCTCCCACTGCAGCAGCATGGGCGAGGGCAGCGGCAGGCCCTGGCAGACCCCCAACAAAAATACTTGGTTGCTTAACCCACTAGTTGGCAAAAAGTTAAAGTCCTAACATCCAAGCAAACTGCGCCAAAGAAAAACCTGCTTCACTTGGCCAGTCACAGCTTCATTCCCAATGATGTTGAGACCCAGTCTTTTGGACCTCAACCTTGGGCCAAAATCCAAAGGGTAAAGCCGCGCCCCAAACAAACGTCTGGGATTAAAACGCTCAAGACGCACCCAGCCCGAAATCATTGCTGGCACCTCCCGCACCTGGCTCGAGTGCCCCAAACCCTGGAACCCGCTGCCGGGGAAAGGTAATGAAGCCTTCTGAGGGCCTGGTTCTGTCGAATAATTTCTGAATTCCTGAGTGGATGGGCCCAAAAACGTCTAAGCTTCTTGTTCACCACTCAAATGACCCAAACCCAAAAAGTCGAATTACCTCCCGGCGCCTCTGGGAGTGTCGGGTTTTTCTCTGGCCCAGTGGGCCTCATAGTCGATTTTGTTCCCTGCACGCGCGCGCTAATCCGACCTGCGGCGGTTGAAGCCACATGGGGCTGGCCTGGCGCAGGAAGAAACAGCACCGCTCCCTGGGATGCAGTTACCAACATTAAAACAATGGTCATATGGCCCCGTACCCCCAGTGAATATCGCAATCCCCACTAAAATAGACTAGAATGGGTGGTTCACCTGCTACACTATTGAAACAATGGTCATACTGTGGATGGACGAAATCCATTTCGCACCACCTCAGAAACATTGGAATGTTGATTCCCCTGCAAATACCAACAAAAAATGATGTCTCATGGTTGCTTGGGTGGTGCAGGATTTCGTCCATCCACAGTATAACCACCATTCTTTACCGGATTGTCATCCAAAATGGGTCCTTTGCCTTTCCTTTATCGGGGGTTGAACCCTGGGGTGCTGAAAGTCGCTTCCTTTTTGGTGAGTCCAACTCGGTCTCTGCGAGAAATTTGGGGAGTCCCCCGATGTCCCTCCCCGACCAAAATAGACCTACTGCATGTTTTACACCGAACCTCACTTGAGGGCGTAAATTGTGGGTGAGCAAAAATGGAATTGCCACACACTCTGAGGGTTCCCTCATTTTGAGACCCCTCCAATGTGCTACCACAATAGGAGACCAAGATGGCCACAGTCTCCTGCTGGCTTCTGATTAAACACCATCCGGCATTGGGGTCCTGAATCTTTGGGCAACCCTGTCAGCCCCCCCTCGCGGAAAAGAAAACACCTTCTCACTTTAACGGACACCGTACCAGCGCAAATACCGCGGCATTCTTAGAGCTTTCAAGGAATGTCTCCGCAACCAACCAGAGTTGGACATGCAGGTTCTTGCATGAGAAATATGGATATATCTTCGAAAGCCAACTTGTTTCCAAGGCAAATGCCTTTGTTCTTGTGACATGTCAGATGCATTCAAGTGAGACAAAGTGAAATTTGAATCAACGGTGGCAAGAAAATGAGGGTCCTCTAAGGGGAGGCCAAAGATGAACCAATCTGGGAAGCTCCTCTGGATTCTGTTGGCCATGGCAAGTGACGCCTAACCCTTGGCACCTCCACTCGGGCAGAAAAACGAATCTTTGGTTCCCGGCATGGATGGAGCAAGAATAAAAAACATGTAACCAACCATGGTAGAGTCGCTGGCAACAACCCCGGATTAATAAATCCTCTGGTTGATTCTGGGGTCAACATTATGACCAGAGGCTACTCCGGGATTCTTCACCGGTCTCGAACCGCGGGGTTGGATCTCTCACCCCGAACACCTAAAAGGGACTTTGAGGCGTGAGGCTCTGTTTCCATCGTTGACGTCTGGCGAAAAGTCTGCCTGGTGGGATTCGTCAGATGCCCTCTTGGCTGGTCACCCAACTCTGTCGATCCATGTGGGTTTTTAAACACCACTCAACTCTGGAAGGCTCAAACTTGTCGAAAGTCGAATGCTGACCCCGGATTCATACACCCCCGGATTTCGCTGTGGGGGTGGGGGCCCCAAAGTGGTGACTCCCCCATCCTCCAAGTGCCACGAGCCTGCGCTTGCGCCATGAAGTGGCCTCGCTTGGGAACCCGAACCAGTGCTGGGGGGTGGCTCGGCGTTTTCGGGCCCCGAACCAAAAAGCGAAACCAGGGCTGTGGGAAATGACCACAAAAGGGCTTCTCAAAGACAAACCTGCCATATGAAGGGGGATAATCTCGACTCTTGTATCACAGAAGTGGGGAGAAACCCCTTGATGCACGAAACAGAAAGGACTTCTTGCTTGGGTTCGGGGGCACTCAGAAGAGAAAAAGTGATTTGGACGACTCCTTTGGTTGACAAGCGTGGGTCTCATGCCTCTCAAAGAAACCCAAAGGATGAAACCCTCCTTGGTCTGCACAAGGTACTCTCAAACAAACACGCTTCTGAATGGACGCGCTGCTGTTCCTGTGCTTTTCGGTTTATCCGGGGGTTGTTCTAGAAACCGGACCAGAACCCAAAACACATCGCGACCATAGCACGGCCATCAGCTTCCCTCTGAACGGCAAAGTGGCCTGATGGTTTTGAGAGATGCTGGGTGTCTTCGAGATCCCAATTGGGTGTTTCCCGAAGGGAAGTAGCTTCGGGATGCGGCAGGCTTTGCGCGCTTGTATAACATGCGGAAATCTGTCCACGTACATATGTCAGAATAGGGGGAACCCCAAAGTCGTGGCGTTCCTTTTGGCCCGTTAAACCAAGCTGAACATAGTACCCTCAACACTCAAACACACGCACACCCGTATGGCAGCCATGCTTAAGCCAACGCCCAACAGACCCAGACCCACCGCTCACTCGCCTCGCGAGTCGTCGAAGCCTAGCGCCGATGACCAGCGCCCAAAACCAACATCCACATCAACAGATCGACTCACATGGTCACTCACATCAACGGACCCCAAAGCAGAAATCTACCAAAGATATTGACAGCAACTTGGGGATTATCGACTCATGGAAAGTCTGATTTGCTTTGGATTTTACACTTCGACATGATCCTCTCGTTTGGCGTGAAAGCTTGGAAACCATCTCTCAGGAAACTGTTTGGAAGGAACAGCTTAGTCAGTGGTCTTGGCATTTGCTTTCGCTCTTTTGGCTTCTGAAGGTCCTGTCTGGTTGGGTCTGCCACAAACAAGGCACTTGCAACATACCCAACGTTGGGAACTAGTGAAAACCCAAACACGTTCGGTGACATTCAGATCAATGTAGTGGAAAACAAAACCGGCTGGGCACCTGTTATAGCTGTTTGCTTGGCCAATCCTTTCGGAGTGTGGTCGTGAACTCACTTGCTAAGTAGATTGGCGAAACAAACCCAATTTTTTTGATTGCCGCTAAAATGGCCGTCCCAACGTGTACGAATCCCATGAACTCAGGGCGTGAAGAAATCTGGGCCATGTGTGTGTGTGTGCCACAGTCAGAATCACTTCCTTCCCTCAAGAGGACATGGACAAATTTGTGCCCCATGCTATTTTGGAGGTTCCCCCGTACCAGCAACTATGACTGGACCAATGTGTGTGTGTGTGTGTGTCTTTCTGGAGGGTAGTTTACCGGCAGGGGATTTAAAGGGAAACTAAAAGCAAACCAACCACTTTGAGGGTTCCCCGATGACACAACCCCAACCCCCGCCTGGCGTAGGCATTGCGCGGGATGGCAAGCAGAGCGGGGTGCAGCACTGGGCTCGCTTGGGTTGAGCGTCTTTTGCCGGGTCCCGCTGCTTGGCTAGCTGATCCCTTGCTAAAAGTTCGACTCCAGTGGGATATGCCATAAAACTAAACGCAAACCCTAAAAGGTCTAAACCCTAAAAGCAACAACAAAAGGTTTTGTCATAAAACACAACGAGTGGGATTAGTGGGATATGTCTAAACCCTAAAAGTGTAAAGCTGAAGGGTATGGCTGCGACCCGCCAAGCTTTACTTTGCTCGAACAGGGCCTCTAAGAGCGATCCGTGGAGGTGGCGCTAAATTTTGTCACAACTCACAAACCCGAAATAAGAAAAGCCCAAGACACTTTGTTTTGGTGGTAACTCGCTTGTGGGTGTCTCAAAAGAGCATGTTTTGGAGGCCAGGAATCATTTCCCAAAGGTCTAAATCCAAAATGGAAAGCAACCCTCTTTCTCACCAAATGGGTGGTGCAAGTCGGGTGGCGTGGCGCTTTATGCGATGAGCACTGCCGGCCGGCGAGGAAGCAATACGATACGAAAAATCGCCCTTGGGGATTGGGGAGTGGCAGGGTTTGGGGGTCCAGGAGGCTCAAGCATCAAAGGTGGTAAGGAGAAACCAAGCGGAAACCAACTACCAGTGGTCTATTGTAAGATAACCCATTCGGTGAAACAACAAGCTCTGTGTCGAACTGCGATTGACAGCGGCGTCATGAGCTAAGTGAGATGAAGACTGCTCTCAGCTGGCCGCATGATTCTTGCTCTCCTACGGGCACAACCAAAGGAACCCGCCAAAGGAGCCGTGAAAACCATGACAAAAGAGGTTCCATGCTAGTGGGAGGGTAAGTTTTAGGGTTCAGCCCCAAGTAGTAAACACTGGTGGGTATATGAACCCCTTGTTTCAATGGTGTTTTGAACCCCAGGCTAAGTATTGTAGGAAAAGGGCGTCGGACAGGGATTAAACTGTTGAGGGCTCACTTTTGAGTTAGATTAGCGGACGAAGGCGTGAAGAAGGTTCAGCATAGAAGAGCAGCAAGTCTTTGCTTGGCGCACATCGCGTTCGATGCGAAAGCATGTCTCCTTGCATACCGGACTCGGTCAGGGTGCAGGCGCGAGGATAGTTGTTGAAAGAGGGCTCTCTCTCTCCCCCTGTTTCTTCTGTCAAACCTGCAAGAAACCTCCGATGTAGGATTGTCCTTGCAACTAAACAGCTCTGTCTATAAAGTATCAAGGCAAAAGGGCCGCGGAGAAGCGAGGCGCCTTTTCAAGCACAAAGAAAGAAAGGGTGTTCAATACTTCTGCGCAACTTAAAAACATGTGATTCCCCAGCCGGGATTGAGCTTAATTCAAAGACTCAGATCATCTTCCCATAATCTTCCCACAATGGCCACTTCTCTGTCAACGCCTGGCAATATCTTACATATTTGCCGCCAGTGATGAACAAAGAGGAGGGTAAAACATGGGCCAAGAGTTGGACAATTCCAGGAAGACTATCGTGGGGGGTCATTTTGCGACCGGTTGTGATGAGAAATGATCACCCCCCTCGTAGTGAAGGATTCCTTTTTGAGGGGGTCGCCATTTTTTCTCAAAAAGTAGCAAAAACACACTGCTAGGAAGACTATTGTGGGAAGACTATGGCCAGACGATCTTAGTCTTTGCTTCAAGCTTAATCCCGGTGTGGGAATTGCATGTAAAGTTGTGCACTGTGGGGTGCCTCAAATTCGGGCACCCCACAGTTGTCCTTTGTTTTCCCTTGAACACCAACCAAACACAGGTTCCCCCAAAAAAGACACAACAAACTGTCTTCCTACAATAGTCCAGCACTTTATGGGAAGCTCTTTGGCTGGCTGGCACACAGGACATTCAAATTACTTCTTGGGGTGCGTTCCCAATAAACAACTCCAGTTGATCGGGCAAACAAACAGTACCCTCCCACCAGCTAACATGAGTATACACAGCCCCCTTCCAAGAGGAAAGTTGTCCTTCTACAGGGGTCTGTGCAGTTCCATGTTAGTCGGTCGAAGTGGGCCCAAGAAACAAAATGATCCACTAACTTTTACACTCTGTCCATGAAGGCCAATTCATCCGCTGAAACCTTGGGTAATGCAGTCAAGACCAACAAAAACAAACCGTCCAACGCGAGACGCAGCGGGAAATCCACCGCTTCTGTGAGACCAACGTGGGACATCCCCGTCAGTTCGTGACTCGAAGCTCCAGTCAGGCTGATATCTGCGGGCTCTGACCTTCCGGCTCCGACTCCAGCTTTGGCAGCTTCCTGGCAACCAGGAATTCGTACCTGAGGGCGAAGCCAACTAAAGTCTGCCATAAAGAGTTGGGTTGGGCACTTTGAAAGCAACGTGCCCCTTTAAAGTGGGCCGGGCGAGTCATAATCAACCCCTTGCGCCAAAGTGGGCTTGGCGGATATCCATAGGCACTCCAAAGAGGACAAGGCGACCTTGAGTTACCTCTTGTTCCCAGACCTGGGAAGCAAGGGGCACGAGCTTGGTTCTGGTATTTAGTTGGGTCAAAACCAATGCAATCCCATTTTGGGGTAGGTGAATTCACCGCCCATTTTAGTCTTTTTTAGTGGTTGGATTGGTTGATGTTCAAAAGGGGTATGCGCTTTTGACCCATGGCCAGTTGACTTTCAAGATGCAACACCCTTTTCGGATTAGACAAGCCCAAGGCGCCTCAGAACATGCGCGCGAACGCAGCTGAACATCACCGTTGCAAGCACAAAGGCGAACCACGCGATGCGGAACTCGCCATCACTTCCGTGGATGCCTTCCTGCACTTGGCCGAAACCGGGTGCCAAAACTCATATTTTTGGAGTCAGCTTCATACTTCTAGGGGTGCCTTCCATGTCCATTCTTTCCAGATCCTTCTTTTCAGGAAACCATCAAAAACCCAGGGGGAAACAGCCGGATCTTGAAAAGAACGATGGTTGAAAAGAATGGGGAATCAACCCCTGACATACTTGGAGCTTCATACTTGGTCAACCTTTTAAAATTTAGATTACTTTCTCAGACTTGGGGGTGTTTGTTCAAGGAAGCGAAGGTTGCGCTCTAAAATGGAACCCTCCCTACACATCAACTGAGGGGTTCTCCATCCTGGGGCAGCATTACTCCATATTTGCCGCTAGGGGCTCGAAAAACATGCCGTACCAAGGGGCGCGCACAGACCCTAGACCCTAGACTCTAGACCCTCGACCTCGAGGTCACGGTTGACAAAACGTGGACCCATGTCACATGTCGACCCATGTTTGGCACCTGAACTGAGGCGCACGAAAAGAGACTCTTGAGGTTTGGCCCTCCATTTCGCATTCTGCTTGTGGACGGTCGATGCATCGGTGCCACTTCCCTTAAACCACTCCCAGGGGTAGAGGGGGCCGGAGGCTTGCGGAAGACAAACCAAAATGAAACACTGCTTGCTGAGATTTGGATCCCTGAGTTCTTGGTTGAACGTTTCCCCCCCTTTTTGGCAACCCCACTCCTGGACTGCGAAAATGATGTTGAGCGTCAGGTAAATCAGCGCTGCAGCTGCCCAGCCCATCCAAAGCAACGGCAGCTTCTTTAGAAACGAGGACCTTGAAAGGTCCAAATCCACCACAATGCCAGCCCAAAGCATCACCACCACGTTCCCAATGATGCCTTTGATCCATTCCAACAAGTCCAGCTTCAAGTGAGATACTGTGGATGTGCAAAAATCCCAGTTGGTAGGTGGTTTATCCCAGTACTCATTGGGCTTCATGCCCCCCAAGCGGTGCAGACTTGTTTTGTCCATCCACTGTCGCAAGGCCCTTCAAAGTCTATCAGACAAAACCACCCAGGAATATGAAAAATACATAGGTGTCCTTTAGGGCAAATAGATGGCCCTGGTAGATGATTAAAGCACCAGGTAAACCAGGGCCATCAATTTTTCTACCAAACAACCAAAAAGGACACCTATGGACATATAATAATATAGGTATAGCTGGGAGCCGAACGCCAGGATGCGGATGGTATCGACTTGGTGCGTGGCCACATTGACCAGGATGTCTACGATCTGGATGAATGCGGCGAAGAGGCTCGGAGACAATAAGGCCAAGATAGGAAGCCATCGCTTCGCCATGACACCAAAGCAAAAACTCAAATATCAGAAAATCATCAGAACCCCAGGGGAAACAGCTGGTTTTTGAAAACAACGATGTTTAAAAAGAATGGGGAATCAACCCCTAGAAATAGGTTTGGCTCAAGCCAGAAGAGGGCTAAGCGAAACGGCAAGTCCGAAGGATTCAATTGGACGCGGTCTTGGAAGGAAAGCACCGTTGACTTGGAACAACTTCGATGAGGGTCAAAACAGCTATATCACCTTGGCAACCAACGGGTCGGTTTAAAGAATCATCGAGCAGCACTGAAAGAAAGCTAACTGAGAGGGGAGGGGGGGGTTGCCCCTCCTGGTGCCCTTTGATTTGCTGGATCATTTCTCCCCCCAGATTGTGTCATATCTAGTCTCTCCTGAAATAACAAATTAGCCATGGCTTTCCCCAAAGCGACGGTTGAAAAGCTCCAAGTTCCGAACAGTTGAGCAGAGTTGACTTTTTGGGAAGGTACTGCTAGTGACGTATCACACGCCTATGCTGGCGCCTACGCCGTGCGCAAATATCATGCCGGACGGCCTATGCGTGGTGTATGTCAACCTTAAACGATTCGCCTGCCTAGGCGATTGGAGTCTTGCTGTTACAGTGCCTACATGTGCCTACGCGGTGTAGTGTTTCGTGCGACAACTCGCGCGCGCGCGCCTACCGGCAAACTGACTCCTACGCGAGAAGCTCCCCAGGCGACTCTCAAAACTAGATACGTGCGCCTGTGTGCAGCAATATGCCAACGCGCCTGATATTTCCCCTTGCCAATTTGCCCCTTTACCATTAAAACCACTCCGCTCAGTTGAAACGGCTTCCTATGATCTGCATGGTATTTGGGAGGCGGTTTGTACGTGTCGGACAAATTCCTGCACCAGTTTGGATGCGTGAAACCGAATGAACATTGGGAGAAACCACCCATGTAAATGGTGCAGGAGTTTCTCCATCGTAGGGGAACCCCCTTTGATCTGTTGGATGGTGCAGTCTGTATTTCCGGCAAGAGCGGGGAGAAAATGGTTGGAAGTGCACCCTTTTTTTCTCCCACGCTCCCCACGATCTGCCGCTTCTCACGCTCAGCCGCTTCCTTGGCAGGATTCGGCAATCCGTACTGTCGGCTTCGGATGAAGAGCAAGTTGCTCGTGCTGGGGAAGAAACGTGGGGTTTCTCGAGAACCCCATGTTTCAGCAGGTAGAACCACCAACGAACAGAGCTGCTCACATCAAAATGGTGCCTGAAGGTCTCTTTCATGTTTCTGGCGTTGGGCTGCAACATAGGTTTCGCCACCCAATCCCGTAGGACGGCCACTTGCCTTGGATATGTTCAATGTTTTTTTCAAGGAAGCCAAAAGCACAACTACATGTTTGGGGGGTCCCTTTCTTCTTAGGATCCAACCTGTCTTGACTGGATCCCCCCGTGTTTCTCTTTTGGAGGAAAGGCGAGGTGTCGGGTGGGTTGCGGGTTGGGGGGGGGAATATGTTAGGAATAAACTTCGTGCTATGGCAACACGTTAGCAATTCACCTACGGGTTTGTATCCAAATTAGGCCCTCCCCCAACATGGTCGGTTTCCTCTTGGTCCCTCTCAAACGTTGGTCGAAAAACGAAGGGGTGGCTTTGGCTTGAAGCAACAATTGACTTCGTTCAAGGGTATCCACCCCTCCGCCCCACCCTCCATTCCTATCTGGCCAACCCTTATATTAGACATGCCTTGCTTAAGTCCATCAACTGCAGGAGTGAAACAATACAAACCAAACACATGCAGAAATCGTTTGTTTCGGCATTCCTTTGTCTGCAACCCCTGGACAAAGAAAAGGATGGCTTTTGAGCTGGCCTCCAAGCAAGGCATGCAGTGTACTGGATTGGTGACTCACTGACCCCCAGCAAAAGCTTGCCACTTGTTGCTACAAATTACTGGCTCGGTTTAACAAAAAGGAACACCTAGAAGAAGACTCTAATCATTCTACCTCAGCTTTTATCCCCGACGAATGATCTGTTTGATTCTGGTCCGAATTTAGCGAACCCGACGTAGAGTCATGTCAAACAAGATCCTCAACAAGGTGGTGTGTGAAGCCACCAAACCATCAGGAATTTAATTCCCCTTGGAGACCAACCCAGAAATCCTTCTCAAGATGCCAACCGCTCGTATAAAATTGCCAAAAGAGATGCAAGTTTTTCGCACGTTGAAAAGGGTCGGGTGACCGACAGGAATCTGTTCAGTGGATCTTGGGAAGTTTCCAAATTGACCTTTTTGGGTGCCCAAACGATATCTTCAAGGATCACACCAAAAGAAAACTCGCTCAACAATACCATATGTCTAGTAAGTCTAATCACCTGGAAAAAGCTGATGTACAAATTATCCAACAAGGGGATTGTCCATCTTCCCCTTGAAAAAGCACCAAACACCGAAACGTTGGATCTTCACTGGCCCCTGGAGTCGGTGCTGATGTATGCCCTTTAGCCCTGTGAGCCACGGTCAAATTTTGCGCCTCAATCAGGTTTTGGTGAACCTCAAATTTATAGAGGCCGCTTGGACATTCCCTTCACAAATGACAGTACACATAACTCGGTTGTTTTCTGCTCCCCTGCTAAAAGGTTAACTTCTAGCGGTTTGATGGAAACCCAATTAGTTGGCAAAAGTTAAAGTCCTAGCCTGCACCAAAGATAAGCTTGGGTTTTTGAGGATGTTTAGGTGGGTCTCCCGTGCCAAAGGAACTTGAGGCTGTGACACAGACCCCAGCAGCAAGCGACAAACAGTAGTGCTCGATTTGCGCTGCGCGAAAAACAGATTGACGGGAATTGCTGGCTGCATTATTTGGCCATGATCAAAGTCACCCAAGTAGTGGGTTAAAAAGGCCCCATTTTCTGACTTTGATTACCCCCAGAAACCGTCAAATAATGACCCCAGAATTGGGTGTCCCACTGGTTGAGGTGGCAAACTCGATGGCTCCTTCGTTGCAAACCACGATGCTTTTCCCAATCCTGCCGCTTGCTTACATAGGTTTGCATATAGGTCTTAGTCTGATTGCCATCCCCAGTAAACCAGGTAGAATCACCTTACTCAATGGCCAACAGGGGCTTTGGAAGTTGCGTCTAGCTCAGATCAGTTTCTGCTTGCGGCAAACTGTGTTTCCTAGAGATCCCGCTCGTCCGAAGCTGGCTAATGCTCGTCGGCAAGGACTACTGAGAGTTCCTCTACTTTGCTTTGAAGCATCACTCCAAGGAAAACTCACTTCAAGTGCCCCCCCCAAAAAAAAAGAAAAAGAAAAGAACAATAAAATGACAAAACAACGCGCCCTGGATGAGGTGTGCGCACCATGGGCCGATGCCTGATTTCCTGACCAAAAAAACACTGGCTTCCTCTGAGAGCAACCAAAAAAGGTGCCGGAAACATGCAAGCACGTTGAGGGACCCAATGCTCAATACTCATCCAGGGCTTTACGACCCACTTAGGCTGAACATCCAATCTCAGAATGGATTTCGGGCCCCCTTTTGTGGTTGGCATTTAAAGGGGATCCAAAAGGAACACCATTTTAGGGGACCAATTCCAATTCGATGTGGTCCCGACCCCAATTTAAGGGGCGGTTTCCTTTGGTTCCCCCTAAATCAAGCATTTAAAATTAAAAGAAAAACAAATCACGCACACACACACACACACACCTACCCCTGTTTTTATCAGTGGAACCCGCCCAAGATGGCGTTGGCCTGTTGGGTTTCCCCTTTCCACCAGTCCAAAACCGCCCGAGAGCGAGGTCGTCGAGGCGCACCAGCCGCCGCCGGTGGCCTGCGGCGCGCTCCAGTCGTCGCCGCCGGTGGCGGCGCCGGCGCCGGCGCCGGTGCCGGCTCCGGCGCCGGCCGGGGCGTCCCAGGAGCCGTCGCCCGCGCGTTGGTCATGTCGTCCCAGTTGCCCCCGGTGCCTGGCAAATCAAACCCCCCCCCCCAGCCCAACAGTGCCCGAGGCCTAGGTTTTTGCAGGTTTTTTAGGCACTCTCTCAGCACTTTCTGCTCTCTAGGCGTTTTGGGTCCTCTCAGCACTTTCCTCTACCAGTGGATCCAGAACCCCCCCCCCCTTTGTTTTCCACCTTCTACCAGTGGATCAAGGACGTGGATTTTGGAAAAGCTTGGACATTTTCATCATGCTTCGGGCTGGGCTTGTCTAACCCGAAGACAGGGGTTGGGGGCCACGACCAATGAAAGCGCTACCCCATTCAAGGCGATGGGGTTGAAACTCAACAGCCTCCAATCCTTGGGGGATTCAAACCTTACAAAGTTGCACACACACACACACTTAACAATCGGGTTTAGAGCAACACCCGGTGAATAACTCCTTCTGTCGAGTGTTCCCTTCTTATCTAACAACACAATTGTACGGGTCGTCCGGTTCCACCCTGTTCTGTCCTTGATTTTAGGGTGTCAGGTTTTCGGGGGGTCAGGACAGGGGCGTTCCCTTCAAAACAACCAACAAAAAAGAGTTGATCGAGGGTGATGTTTCTTCCAAGTGCGTTTACTTTGCGACAACTCGTTAGTACCATGGCGTTTAAACAAGCACAAGAAGGAACAAAGCACTGAAGCAAATGCAGCTTCGATTACTTTCATGTAAGAGCAAGGAAAAAGTGACAGCTTCGCAAACTACAATGGTTTGCGGCTCATTCATCTTTTTGCCCTCCACATCACCCCACCAAGAAGAACCTCTTTAAACCGGCAACAACACTGCGAGGTTGAAAGACAGAAACAGACAGACAGACAGACAGACAGACAGACAGACAGACAGACAGACAGACAGATAGACAGACAGACAAACGGACAAACAGGCACCCACACAAACCTACACGCAATAAAAACACACAAGCACGGAAACACGCAAACACACACACAGACAAACCCACGAACACAGACATAAATACACATACACACAAACACACCCAAACACACAAACACAGACACACACACACACCTACACACACAAACGCACAAACACACGGAAGCAAAAACACAGACGCACACACACAAACACACACACACACACACACACAAACACACACAAAGACATAGACACACAAACAAACAGACACACACACACAAGCACGCAAACACACAAACCTACCCACACCCAAACGCACAAACACACACACACACAAACACAAAACACAGCCACACACACACACAACCTACATGCACAAACACACACACACAAGCAAGGAAACATGCAAACACACACACACACACACACACAATCACACAAAGACATAGGCGCACACACACAAACACAAGCACACAAACAAAGACAAACACACACACACACACACACACCAAACACACAAACACAGACACAAATGCGACCACTCAAACACAAACATACAAACAAATAATCGCTCGCAAACAAACGCGCACACAAAACACACACATGCACACGCACAAACACACGAACACACAAGCACAGAAACACACGCACAAACACAGACATCAATACACACACACACACCCAAACACACACAGACACAAAACACAGACACACACAGAAACACACAAGCACAGAAACAAACAAAGACACAAACTCAAACGCACAAACACACACACACAAACACAGAGACACACAAACCAAGTTACACACACACACACACAAGCACGCAAACACACAAACCTACACACACACCAACACACACAACACACACACACACACGCACGCAAACACACAAAACACAGCCACACGCACAAACCCACACGCACACACACACACAAACACACAAGCACAGAAACAAGCAAACAAACAGAGACACACAACCACACGCCAACACACACACACAAACAACGACACGAACACACACGCACAAAACCAAACATACACGGACACAAACACAAACAAGAAAACTCCGACACAAAGACACAAACATACACACAAAAATCAGACAGAAACCTATTTTCACACACACACATGCAAACGCACAAACACACAAGCACAGAAACACGCAGACACACACACACACACAAACCCACAAACACAGACACACACACACACACACACACACAGGTACGAACACAGACACACACACACACAGACACACAAACCTACACACACAAATGCAGAAAGACACAAGCACAGAAACACACACGCACACACAAACACACGCACACACACAAAGACATAGACACACAAACACAAATACACACACAAGCACGCAAACACACATACCAACCCACATACAAACGCACAAACACACAAGAACACACCACACAGCCGCACACACACACACAAACCTACACGCAGAAACACACACACACACACACAAACACACAAGAAAGGAAACACACAAACACACACGCACAATCAGACACAAAGACACACTCGCACACACAAACCAACTCGCTCAAACACACACACACACACACACAAACACACAAGCACCGCGGACACTCAAACACAAACACACAAACACACAAACACACAACCGCACACACACACACAAAAAGACAAAACAAGCCTATACGCAAACACACACGCGCACACATGCAAACACACAAACACGCAAGCACAGAAACACGCAAACACACACACGCACAAACAAAAACCCACAAACACAGACACAAACATACACACATACAAACACACAAACACAGACACACACACAGACACGCAAGCCTAGAAAGGAAACACACAAACACACAGACACACACAGACACAATGACACACACGCACACCCAAACACACAAGCACAGAAGCACACAAACACAGACATCAATACACACACACACACCCAAACACACAAACACACACAGACACAAAACAAAGACACATACACACACACACACACAGAAACACACACACACACACAAAGACACAAACGCACACACCCACACACACACACACCAAAAAAACAACTGACACAGACACAGACACAAACACGAACACTCAAACACAAACATACACACAAATGATCACACACACACACACGCATGCACGCACACACGCACATGGCCCCGAGTCAAAGACAAATCCCATTCGATTCCTCCCGCCTGCGCCCTCCCAGGTCTGCTGCACTGGGGCGGTCCACTCTTGCTGATGCACCGGCTCCTGCCGGGAAACACAAGGTTGCTCCAAAGACCCGGTCACAAGGGTAGAACTTTGAAGTCCCCCCCCCCCGCCTACGGAAAACAAAAGGACCCCGTCTACCAATTGTCCAACGCCAAACGCACACCTTTTTCTCCAACGATCAGGACTTACTTAATGGGTTTAAAGTACCGAACCCACAACCAGAAGATGGCCGGTGCAGAGGTCTCTCAAGATAAAAAAATATGTTGCCCACAAACCAAAATAATATTTTGATCATTGCCCGAATTTAATGAGCTTCAACATGTAAAATGACTTGAAGAAAGATCCCAGTTTTGGCAACTTAAGAAAATGGTTCGGACACGCGGGGGAATCAACTCGCAGGTCGTCGGACTAGGCTGGGGAAGTTCAGCCTATTGCAAGCCGAAGGATGGACCGCCAGTGAGTCACATGGGGATGGGGGTGGAATCCACTGGCTTCCTGCTTGTGGTGTTTTTTCCCCGCTGAAGAACGGTCTTCCCAGAAAGTGCAACAAAAAGGACTTGCTTGGAGTGAGTTTAGCAAGTTACCCTGAAAGCTCGTCAGGATCCAACCCATCCCCTAGACTAGCCCCCCTTGGCTTCCACCAAGGCCTCAATGAGGCTGATCAAAAGCTTTTTGAGAAACCAGGGAGGGGAAGGCCCGCATTGGAATCTTATCTCATGTCTCATCGGGGGCAGCCTGGATTAGTGCAGGATCAGCCAAGGATTCAGCATAAGACCCTAAAGCTCACAACAAGCTTGATAGACCCCCTCCCCACTCAATTTCCATCCAGACACCCCCAGTAGGGTGGGGCCCCTTTGAAAATCATTGCTTAAACAACCGCCTTTAGGTTCCGTTTAAAGCGGACCAGGCCCGCTTGCTCGAACACATGTGCAACTAACCCTCTGGCTACCGCGAACTCAAGACGAGCTTGCCGGCCACAGTCCTCCTCCTGCTGCATGATCTCCTCCGGGTCGCGCCAGAAGAACCTCGGGAGCCGACGGCCGCGGACGTCTGACAGGAAGTTGCCGGGCCGAATCGAAGTGGGGCCTGAGGTCGCGGGCCTCCAAAAAAAACAACGAGCTGAGGCGTGCGAGACTCGCCCATTCAACCCTCAACTTCCAAACCTCCAAGCCTGCAACCCAAACCACCGCTCAAAGGAAGAGCACGGGCCTCGGAACATGGGCGGGTGATAGGTGAAATACATGTTAAGCAGACCAGACCCAAAAGCTCCCCCCCCCCCCAGGGAAAAACAAGAAAAGGTCCTTCCTGACCCTTGGCAGGAGGCACAAAACGCGATGCTCGTTGCAGCCCAACCATTTCCTCCTGGGAACCTACATCCATAATTGCGGGTGTGTCAAACTAGGGTAGCCCCAAGATGGGTGGTATCCTGTTGGTTTCCCTTTAAGCCAACCGGAAAGGGGGCATCCACACAACTGGAAGAACTCCTGGCCCGAAAGCATGATAGACAGCAGAGGGTCGCGCACGTACCACAAACAGTAGAACACAGCTAGTATGTGCGCATCAATCATGCCAATCCCCGCAAAAAATTCGCGACAAGTCCTCAGTTCCAATGCTTTCGGGAAAAAGAGATACCTAGAGTCTCCATGACCCTTAAAAAATGGGCTTATGACCCCTTCATTTTGGGTAATGACCCCATTTTCTAAGGGTCATGGAGACTCTAGGTACCCACATTCTCCACCATAACTCGAAGTTTCCACCAGGGGGCGAGTCCACCATCACGTCCCAAGGCTGGTTGCGGGGCAGCGTCGCGCGGAGGTACAGCACCTGCAAAAACGAGTCAACGAGGCTTTGAGGCTCCTCAAGCCCGTGCCCCCCCCCCCCCCCTCCCGGCGAAAAGGGAAAAGGCGGTTCCAGCCTCACCGGGCAATCTCGGAGCCAAATGGGCGGCTCTCTATGCTCTCACCTAACTTTCAGAGACATGTTCAATGGGCAAAACAGCAAAACATGGTGCTTCAAGCCACCAATCGAAAGACAGTGGGATTCCGCACTCGAGTCTTGGCAAATGAAGCTTTCGGACTTTGTCTTCATGTTCAAAAAGCTTCAAGTGCAATAGCTCAGGAAGTCAGAGTCTTCTTCCCTTGTAGTGAAAGATCCAAACAATAGGCGAAAGCCACTGAAAACAGCCGAGTCATGCTCAAAACCTGGTCTTAGAGTGCTCTACCCAAAACCATTTAAAGCAAAAGGGTGGAACCCCGCAACTATTTGTGGTTGGGACGATTCCCTATCAAAAGCCGCACCAAAAAAAACAACAGTTGACGGTCTCGTGACAAATCAACAACCCCCTCGAAATGAACGTTGTTTGTTCTTGCTTTTCTTTTCTGAACGCAGCGCTGGCATTGGCATCTCTCGTCAATTATCGGGGAGGACTCGACCGCATTGGGTGAGTTCGGCGGCATGTCTCTCCACGTTTGTTTCATCAGTCTCTGAACAGGTTGATTGTGGTCAAAACAAAAAGAGGTTGATTTCCCATTCTCTTCATCGTTCTCCTCAGACACCACACACTGCTTCTTTCGGGGTTTGGCCCAAGACAAGAATCCCTGATACTCCCTGAGACTGGGAAAGGTCAGGGTTCCCCACAATGGTGTGTCTTCAATTCGTGCCGCCCGTACCGTCCTGCCCACCAGCATAAAACCTGACGGGGGTCCCCTTGAAACGGATGGTCTTCCAGGAGTGTCTTGTCAGGTTTCTTCTGTTGTTTGTTGGGAGGGTAAAAGCCAGGCTATGACCAAAGGCTTGACTCCATCCAAGATCCTCTGTTGGCCAAACGTGTCCCAAGAGTTCAAACGCTTCCAACTATCCTTTTGTTGCACACCAAATGATAGTCCATCTTAGTAGGTTGAACCCTCCCAACCAAAAAAGAAACGGTAAAAGGGCACCTAGCTGGAGGACCTAGTATATATATATAGACATATATTATACCATGGTCAAAACCCCCTACCTAGGATATTCTAGACCTATACCATGGTAGACCTATGTATCACACAGGGATCCTTAGATTATACACCTGAACATTGCCTTGTAAACGGTGGCTTCCCCTGATTTTGGTGGAAAAAGCCATGTTTCAAACGGGCAAAATGCATCCCTGTTATACCTAGGATATCTTCGGGAAGTCCCGACTTTGAATCGAAGGCCTCACGGGCCAGCAGCCAGTACAGCAGCGCGATGGACTCCTGCGAGGCGAACCCCGATGATTCAAAAGCCCCCCCCCCCAAAAAAAATCATATATATATATATATATTATATACACAACTCGTGTTGATATGCGCCCTCCCCTTCAAACCAACTCAAATTCGAAAGGAAGTTTGGGCGACGACTCTGCTTGGACACATCTATCTACTATGAGCCATGGAAAATCCTTTCAATGTGGTAGGTCCATGGCCTCAAACATAGACGCCACACGCATCCGCTGGTTGCCTTGTACGTACAAATCCCGTCTCGCCCAACGAGTTATGATTAGTTGTCGTGTCCTACCGAGGACGCGATTTCTGGATGTCGCTTGAGGGAGGGAACAGCTGAAGACCGAAACTAACACCTCCAAATGGGATCTTCCAAGCACCAAAGACCCATCAACTTGTCCATTTGCTGTGGGTCAAGTAACAACATATTTATATATATATATAAATATATATTTATACGTCATGACCATTTCCGTAGGAACAAAGCAAACAACACCTGACGCTCTGGGGCACACCAAAAGACATGTTTCCAATGTTTAGTCTAGTCTTGTGCACCCTGAAATACAACATAGTTTTCGAGAAGACCCCAGTTGACACAGGGTTCCGCATCTTTCCCCGTTAAACGTTCCCCCACAGGAATGGCACTCGAAATCGGGGCGTTTAAACACACCAACAGGGGAAATGTGGAGAACCTGGTTTGGAACGCCCGGCCTTGCCCTTGTTGTTGGCGGGGATGGCCACGTCCACGTTGTCCAGGGGGCTGTCGGTGTCACAAAGGGCGATGACCTGACAAGGGGGGGATAATGGTGTACGTAACCCTGCCGATTTTTTGAGGGTATGCTCTTTTGTCAAGTACCCCAAACACCCCGGGGGTGGTTTGAGGGTGGATACCATCTGGAGCATTGAGAGTCATGCTGCCGAATACGGTCCACATTTCCACATACCCCTTGGCCCGACTTGGGAGCCCCTTGGTTAAGTGGGAAAATTAAGGAAACCCACGAAGAACATCCCTACATTCGGGAGAGGTAGGGCTTCAGGTCCAGCAATTGAAATCATATGTCCAGTCCAATGTCTTCCAACCTCAAAAGGGGCAATCGAACGAATGGAGATTTCCAGATTCTTGTGTGATCTCCAATGCCATTGAGGGACTGAGGATGTACAAAGAGTCCCGACGTTTTCTGTCGCTTGTGGTACATGCCAGCCCCATTCTGACCTAATTTCCTGGTAAAACAACTTGTGATTTTGAGCCATGGTGGGTAACTTCCTCTTCCTCTCGTCCTGAGTGGATTGGCGGAACGAAACTCGTTGTTTGCCACTAACATGGTCTACCAAGAAGGAATGGAAAGCGTGTCGGGTGGAGGGGGCAGGGTCCAAGTCCCAAATATTTCAGCTTTTGCCCCCCCGCCCCCGCCCAAACACTATGGTTGATACTGTTCCATGTCCTGGATTACCCTCAAAAAGGCACACACACAACCACACACATTTCAAGGCTCAAAATGCGACATCATGTCAAAAGAGATCTCCGGGTCCAGATTTGTTGCAGGGCTCCCTATATCATAGTCAGCCCTGTAAATATCACCCCCACGAGGAAACTCATCTCAAGGCAAAAGCGATGTTTAGACAGACTAAAAAGGGGGACATCTATGCTTTGGTTTCCCTGTAAACCAGCTAAGACCATCCCGGGTCCAGGATTCAGCTTGGGCCAAATCTGGGGGTACACAAAAACAATATCTTTGCGGATTCTGCTTAATAGTGAATTTAAAAACGTGAGACACATTTGAAGGAGCAGTTTACTCAGGGATCCCTGTTTTCCCCTTTTAAATTAAAACATCACCACCAAAAGGAGTCTCACGCTGAATTGGGCCGGTTGCAACCACCTAGATGGGTAATTTAACAGGAACCACCCCCGTGTTCTGGCTTTGATACCCCATGTGTAACAATTTCGGAGCCTCTCTTGCTTCTCCTCTTGGAGCCAGAAGCCGTCGGTCTGCCCAACAGTCCAAGTAATGACCTATGAATCAACTTCTCAGGGAAGCAACAAACATATCATTTGGGTGTGGGTCAAGAATAGGTAACCGGAAAAGGAACCCCGGTAAATGGGAAACAAGAGAGTCAAATCTGCGGTCCCCACACGCCCATTTTGAGAAAATCGACCTGAAGTCCCAAGGAAACCGTGGTGGTTCCCTACTGTGGATGGACAAAATCCAGCACCAGCGAAGAAACCAAAAAATCATTCGATTCCCTTGCAAATGCCAAGATGGCTTCAACCGCGACTTCGAATTTCACCCTGCCAACTTCCCCCACAATTTCGCACCTTCCAATTTCACCCTAAGTACGGCGAAAAAGGAAATCCCAACCAAAACCACCGTATTAAAAACCCGCCAGCACCACCCCCCATCCCCAAACCGACGAACCGACGAACCGAGTGGACCGAGTGGCCGGGATGGAGGCATAGGCCGCCTCCTTGATGGCCTGGTTGTCCGTGCGGGGGTCCTGGAAACATCCGAGTAAAAAAAAAAAAATCCGGGGGGAGCGCTCTCTCGCGACACGGAAATCAAATCCGGGAGCGAGGTCGGCTCGCGTTTTTTGTCTTCTTTTCTTCTTCTTTTTGCGACTGGGGGGGTCACAGCCTGACCAATTTTTAACCCTGGAGATTGAAAGACCCAGATTTGGTCTGGGCGTTTTGGAAATCTGGGTAGCTACCAATTTTTCACCCTGCCATTTTTCCCCCTACCAGTGTTTCAGCCCACCAATGTTCCGCCCCCTCCCCCAAACTATCCCGGAAGCTGACCGGAGGGTTGGACAAAAGTACTTTTTCCTATTCGGGAACCCCCCCGTCCACCTCCATGTCTCATTGGAAAGAGGGTACCAATTCTCAATGTTCTCCTGGCGAATGGCCTGAACAGCACCCCTAAAGCTGGCTAAAGTTGGTGCAGAAAATGGGGCTATCTGCAGATTCTGGTCTGGGGAATTTGCCGGTGTGTGCCTGAGGTTTGGAGGGATTTATGCCAAATCTCGGCTAAACAAATGTTTTCTGTTCAAAATGCTTTAACCAAGTTCGTGACGAACCAGAAAGTAAAGGATGAAAGAATGATCAAAGGGACCACTACCCTTGTTCGTGGGTACCCGACTTTTCTAGAGTGTCCTAATGCTCCAAATCAAGCCCCTAAAATCATTAGTAGACCACACAAGTTGATCTAAGCCCGGGGGAAGCTGGAATAGTTGGACATGTCCAAATGTGCAGTTGATGCGAATAAACAATACTGTGGATGGACAATTCCTGCACCACTAGGTAGGTGGTGTATACCACTATTCATGGGGTTTCATCCATCGAAACCCCGGCCAGACGGATCTGACCCCCCGCAAGAAGTTTGATTTGTGTTGCCAGTACAAAGGGGAAACAAAGAAAATCCAAAAGCGCAACAGGGCCAACATGTTAGTTAAGGCTTGGAATCGAATCAGTGTTGCTCTAAACTCCCTGGCAGTGGACACTTCTCGAAAAAGGCACCCGCTTTAAGTTGCGTTGACGGCAGACTCCTGTTTAACGGGGAATACGGGTCTTGCCAGGCGCGCACAGTGGACGCCGCCTTTTCCCAGGGTCATCTACATGCCCTTTTGAACATCGCCTCACTCAGAGGCTGCTTAAAAATCAGTCTCGAAGATTGCCTAAAACGGCCCAGACGGGGACACATATGGAGCCCTGTTTTCTGGCAGAACCCCCGCCAAATCAAATCCAGAGCGGTCCGTGACGATGAGCAGGCGGGGCTCCAGGTACTTCTGCGTGATCCTGATTGGGAGACGGATTGATCCTGGTTTGGGTTTGGAGGAGACTTGGACAAGAAGGCAATGAAAACAAGGAACTTGGAACAACAAGGAAACAAACCCAGGAAAAGAGGGACAACCAAGAAAATCAACCAAGGCCAACGTAGAAAAATCAGCACAAGGGGGAAAAATACAGGGCCAATGCCATCGAAATCACGCAGTGGCAGGGTTTTGGCTGGTAAGGCTCCAGCTGAAAGTCCTTTCAGGGGTCCAAGGTTGACCCAGCAGTTTGCCCTTTGGTCTGGAACTCCCTCCGGTTTCAGAGTCGCACCCACGATGAGGGTCCCAAACAAGTTCGTCTCGCGGGCAAAATGGGTGGTACACATATGTGTATATATATATATATATATTTATATTTGCATGTATGTATGTAAGTATGTACGTACATACGTAGGTAGGCAGGTATGTATGTATGGCACAACTTTACTTGCTTGGAGATCTACAGCCGCCACTACCAACTTCAAGTTGATGGGTATGCTGACCTGCACATATGAGTGGGAAACAAACACTTTCAACAGCTACGCTCTCACCCACAGGCACACTAAACGGTCGTCCCTACAGGGGCTCATCAGTTTCCACAGTGGGATACCAAAGAGATCCGAAAAGCAAGTAGAGACCCCCTTGTGCTTGGAACCCATGGATATTGCACAGTTCTGCAGTTCCAAAAGCGGGCTGTTTTGAGTATCTGCTAAAAGTCTCACTTTTAGTGGTTTAAGTGGAAACTACCACTAGTCCAACTAAAAACAACTCAAAACCTAAGGAACTACTCAAAACCTAAGGAACCGGACGGCTGGGAAACGCCAAGCCTTGGGATTTCCCTCGCAAAAAAAAACACAGGGCCCCGGTCCGGTGGGCTCATGTGGACCACGTGGACCCGTCGAAAGGGTCCGTTTCCCCTTTCAACCTTTTCCCATGGGGTGTCAAAAGCGGGACTTGGACCCTCCCCCTCCCCAAAAAAAGACAAACGCCTCAGAAACCAAGCAAACACAACAGACAAACGACCAGTGGTTTTCCCTTGGCGTCCCTTTGAACCAACCCAAAGGCCCCCTCAAACCAACACAAACACACAGGCGGACGCCATCTCTTGCGGCCGTGGATCTGATTGGTCAAGGTGCCCGGGGTCCATCGCCCAGCCAGCGGGTTGGCGCCCGTGTACCTGGATCAGTCCAGTGCGATCGGCGAGAGAGGCAGGGAAGGAGACATGGAACGACCCCAAAGAGCCATCCCACTGACTGGTGGCTTCCTCAGGGAATGAGACATGGAACGACTCAAAAAGAACAAAAAACCAACAAAACATGCCACTGGTGTTTTTTTTTTTTGGTTTTTTTTTTTTTTTTCTCAGGGAATGAGTAATGGAACCACCCCAACAACAAAACCATCCCGCTGGTGGTTTCCTTGAGGGTTCCTTCCCACATTCCCTACTGAGCACCAGCAAGCAGTGGTCACCTGCATTGTTGAACATCCTTTGTTGGCCCGTTTGCAAGGGCCGTGAAAAAAGCCGGGAGTTAGAGATTGGTCTTGTTTCTGTGTCCTTCCTGTCTTCTATTTATAGGGGGGTGTCTTCTTTGGAGGTGACCAATTTGCTCCTTTCCCCGGAAAGGGATGAGTCTCTGAGGTCTGGCAAACATGTGATCCAATCGCCGAGAGCACTGGCTGAACTTGAGCACGGCGCGGGATCCGTAGGGTCGCTGCGACGCCACGATGATGTCCTGGCGGGAGCTGCAGCTAAAACAGGCGTCTGTTTCTTTTTTTTTTTCCCCGGAGGGCACCCTGTTTGGGATAGTTTTTGTTGAAAACCTAAGACACACCCAAGAAACGGACTGTTTCCTTTGGAGGTGAGGGCACCCTTTTCGGGTTAGTTTTAAAGGAAAACCTAAGACACGCCCAAGAAAGGCGGACCCCGTTGCTCAATGGATCAGTTCCGCAAAAGCCAAACAACCGGACCGGAGAAAACAGCAAAGACATCCCAAAATAGAATACACAAACATCCCAAACAATGGCCCAACGTCTCCTGGTTTGTGGACGTCTTGCAGTATTGAATGAGGACCTGTCCAGTGAAAGTATAGTGGGCGACCCCAACAAGAAGCAGTTTATGTGTGTCCTCACCACTGAGTGCATTGTAACAATGCACCGCCAAACAAAAAACAACAACCCCATTTCTTGGCCCCCACCCGCTTTTTGCGGCCGTCGGTAGTTGCGCGCCTGCGGGTTCTCAATGGCCACAATGATGCGTGCAGCCGCCTGCAGCCTCAAACCGAGTCCAGGGGTCAAACGACCATGTCCCCATACACCACATCGATCGACCCATGGGAAGCTCACTTCCCAGGTGGACTGGCCAGTTTTCTATGTTTGGAAGGAAAGCCCAACCTATGCAAGCAACCTAGAAGCGTCCCTTTGACGCAAATTCGAGACCCCAGAACAGGCGACAGTGTCACCCTGATTTCCCCGTTGCCATACTCTTTGACCGGGGTGTCCTAATCCAAACCTTTCGCCCTCTGAAAACTACTCTCCGAGAAAGGCCTTCCCGAATGTTCATGGCCACCATTTTTGAAAGCCAGCAGTTTTGAAAGGAACATTCTGGCGTAACAAAAAACACTCTTCACTGACACCGTGACGCCTCTCAAGCCAAGGCACTTCTCCCAAGTCTTGCCAAGGTGGATGATGTGAATACCTCGGCGAGTGAGTTTCATTTTTCGCCCTGACGCCACGCGCACCGCACTTGAGCCACAATCAAGACCGAAAGAGGTCTTTCCAAAACATCTGTTTCACACTTCGTCTACCCTAAACTTCAAATTCATTTTGGAGACCCCAGAATGCAGTTGAAAGCACCTGGTCTGGTTGATTTGGGGGTTCCCCCACAAGTGATCCGGATCGCCTAAGTGGGATTCCCGATCAAGACCTGCCCACGTCACCCCTCAAATGCAGACTGCAGTCTGCATGACCTGTGGCTTCGAGCCGGCGACAAGAACAAAGCCGCCCAATACAAACATGCTTGAGCCCGCGGTCGGGAGGTTTTAGTTGCAAAAATGAACCCCAAAGATCGGGGTTCAAACCCTGGTTGGGGCCCAGATGCGGTTCTCTGCATCTCGTTCCCTTTAAGCCACAAAAAGGGTGTTGGTCCATTCAACAACCCCAACAAGAATATGACCTGCAAACTTTAGTACAATCTCTAAACCTGAATTGAGGGATCCCCAAGTAATGGCCCAGGTGAGCTCGCGATAAAATATCAGGGCTGTGGCTCAAAAACCCTGTACCAGTGAACATCCGATTCAATCCAACCACCAAAATAGGTCCCAAAACGGGTGGTGAATTCACCAATCCCAACCAACATGGGATCCATGTTGCGACCCAGTCCTTTAAACCCCAAGCTGGTGTTGGCCCAAGACCCAACGGGCCAAAGGGTAAAACCTGGGGTTGGGCCATATGGGGGTTGTTCAAAATGGGGGGTGTCCTTTCGCGCTAGACCTTCAGAACCTCCCTTTACTTAATTTTAAGACTGGCAATTTAGAACGGCTCCCATGTGATTTCTCTTTGAGGTCGACCTAGATCGCGCCCAATGCGCGCCCCTGCGCCCGTCCGTGGCCAGCTTTTTTTTTTTTTTTTGCTTTTGCCGCCCACGCTGCCGTCCACGGTGCGCCGAAAGACGTAGCGCTTCATGCGGTGGTCCACGTTGCGGGTGCCCAGATGGGTCTTACACACCTTGATCCATGGGGTACACAGCAAACAAAAACCCCAATGTTCCACCCACATGTTTCTGACTTCGCAACGGACGTTGGAGCTTCGAGCTCTGGCAAATAGCCTACCCTAAAGTAAAACATCATTTTGGAGACCCCAAACACCTCAGTAGCCAGTAACTCCCAGAGAAAGCTCACGTCACAATCAAGTGGATTGGGCAAGTCAGACTTGTTGGTTTGCCACTGAAATGGTCCGAACGAATAAAGCTCGGGAACTCCACTCCGTGAAGGAACCAATTTAAAGGCCTTGACCATGTTTGGCCACCTCGACCCCCAAACTACCTGGTTCCGGCGATAAATCAGGAGAACCCCAAACCCCTCTTTTGGTTTAGGCTCATGTAAAGCCTCCCGGTTGAACCGGTCTCATTTTCATTGGCCACGCACTGGATCCTCGGAGTTGTGGGTGGCTTGGGCCCTTGGGGCTGGGGGAAGGGAAAGGGAGTGTGGGCCCGTGTTCAAGCAGGCAAACCAAACTGCAACGCAGGTTTGGTGTCCATAGGACCAGTTGCCTCCCAAAAGGAATGGGAGGGAGGGAAGTGAGTTGGAAATCCGGTGGGTTTCAAAACCAAGAGTCTCAAAGGGACACATATTACAAAAGGCGGGGTCCTGGGTTCATGAAAACTGAAGACTAGCCAGAGTGCCCGCTTCTACCCACGGTTTGGGATGTCCCGTAGTAAGCCGAATCAGTTTTGGTGATTCACCAACCTGAGGTATCGACATAACATTCTCTCACTGCTCATCATTCCTTCTCCAATTTCCGGAGCTGAACATGAGGGTTCTAATTGATCCAACCAGGACGCGTGCACCAGGCCATGTTTTGTGGGAAACTTGAAAGGAATATCGAAAGGAACATTGAAATGTTCCATTTCATGGTTCTCATTTTTATGCCGCAACTTGGTGGATTCCAAGAGAAAGCCCCCCCGCCCCCCGGTGTTTTTACAAAAGACCTCCGCACGTGCCGGAGGTAAACGGAAGAACCGCCAGGAATTTGATCTCAACTGTTTCAAGGAACAAATCTAAATAATCCAAAAAAGGGTTACTCATGGGGGCTGGGCAAGGAGGTTGATTGTTGCCTGTGTATTGTTTATTTGTTGTTGACCTTTTTCTGTGCGGAATTTGTATTTGGGGGGAAGGCCATGCAAGCTTTGCGCTGCAAATGACTAAACCCACCTGCCAAAAGTGAAAATGAAAGACGGGATCTATCAAAGAGACTAACAAGCTAGGAGGCGGCACTTACAAGTTGCTCACTGGCTGAGTGGAGGGCCCAAAAAAAATCCAAACTTTATATTTGCCACTAAAATGGTCTTTCCAAAAAGTTTAAAGTTCATGAACTCAGGAAGTGAGGGCTGTTCAAGGCGGAGGTCGCACAGATGCGCGTGAGCCGATTAGATTTGCCAAGTTGCCAGCATCATCTGAACATCTTCCTCCTGCCGTTGCTCGTTCCGAGAACCGGGTTCCCTATAAATCCCCTTTAAACATCGCTAATCAACGAAAGGACACTTACTTTGAATTGGCTCAAAAAATGATGTTGAAAACCACCCTTCCAGGCAAAACATGGGGAATCCTGCGCCAAGCAAGACACAATGCGGAAACATGCGAACCCCTGGAGATGTTGCAGTATTTGTTGGGTTCCTTCTGTTTGCTTTGGGTTCCATGTTGTTTGGGAGGGTTCTCTTTTTGGGGGCTCAAGAAGGTGAATCGTACGACAAAGCCAAAGCATCCTGGCCTCTGAACTAACCCGCTTAGGACCCCCAACGTGGCACACCCGCTAATGAACCAGAGGTCAATCTCAGATGCCCTAGGGGAAAAAAAGGGCATCCTTTTTTGGTTGGTTGAGTTTAAAGGGAACCCTTCCCCCCAAAAAAAAGGGAAAAAGGGCACCACTGGGCAACTGGGTAATCATTACAGAACACAAAGACAAAAACAACCAACCAAACACACACACACACACACCGAAGCAAGCAATCAATCAAGCAAGCAAGCAAGCAAGCAAGCTTGCTGAACAAGGAAACAAACACGCCCACAAGTCAGCAAGCAATGAAGCAAGTTTGCGAAGCAAAGAAACAAACAAGCCAGCAAGCAAGCAAGCAAGCAGGCAGGCAAGCAGGCAGGCAGGCAGGCAAGCAAACACAAAACAATGACACAACAAACATACATTACACATACACACGCAACAAACAAAGTAAACACACGAGCAAGCCAAGAAACACATGCGAGCAACGCAAGCAAACACACAACCTTAAACGAACGGCGTGCATGTGCTCGCGCGCGTTTGAGAAATCCCTCGCCTTGCTAGCCGCCATGAGCCTCACTTCCTGCGGAGTTCTGATCTTTCCGTGGGGAAAACGCTAATCCTATTTGAGCCATATACGATTGAGTCGGGGCAAGGAAATCGCGATCGCGGAAACGCAGGTCAGCAGGAAATGAATCTCTTGGTTGGGAACTCCACTTGCCACAAACAGGTTTGACAACGCATCAAACACAAAGTGAACATGTAGCCAAGGTAGGAAAAAGTGATACAGGCAGAAACTCCAAACAGGATTCGGAATATGCAACGAAACATGGCCCCAGTTTTGAGAAAAATAAGGATCAGTTTCTGGAACGCCAGCAAGTGCCAAGGTGAACTTCGCAACATACGACTTGGGCCCAGATACCCTGGCATCTGAATGACCTCCGTATGATCATTCCGGTCGCTGGGGGTTTTGGGGGGTAGGGAATCCTCGTTTCTACGGGAAGGGTGCATTGGGCGCATAGGCTTACATGGGCCTGCGGTAGCGCTGATGTACAACAAGTGTAAGCTCTGGGGGAAGAGAGACTTCTACTTGCGGACTTGACCCTGCAAGTTACCTTGTTCAAAGTGAAACTTCAGAAACCCGCAAGGCCAGTTGTGGCCATTTGCTCAATTACACCAGGGTGAAAGTAGATGTGGAATGTGGGTTAGCAAAGAAAGAGGATGACTCAACTAAAACGGGGTTGCAGTCTGGTCATGCTGAGACGCACGTCTGGGCTTCAAAAAAACGAGCTCCGCACCGAAAATGGCCGCCAACACCATGGAACTGTGGTCCAAATGTTGGTTCCTGCTCGGTGCAGTCTTCACCCATCCTTCTTGTCCAATCTTCATCTGCTTTTGGTTGCCCTTTAGCCAGGATCTGGACATGTGGGCATGTCTTTGTGTTGAGGGTCTTCTCCGGGTGTCAAGGGAGGCCAACCGGAAACCCGGCCATTTTCGGTGTCCGAATCCCTAGGTCGACAACCGTGCGAAATTTGGCCGCCGCTCCAAACCTGGGGTTATGCCCTCTGAGGTTTGCGTGGGAGTCTGCCCAAAGGACCTGACCCCAGAAAGCTACCGACGCATGTTGAGGCTGCATTGTCCCATTGAAGCTGGCCGCATGGGTTTTCACTTCTGGATCCGATGCTTTCGAGTAAACCAAGAAAAAAAAGAAAGCTGAAAAGGTCGGCTTACAAATGAGTCTTACTCGGTACGCGTTGAGATCGGATGAATGCCCTTCATAGGATTCCCCTAAGCGAACCCGCCCCCAGTTTCTCGAAAGCCTGGGACACACCTCAGGGAATTCTACCAGGGAGGTTAGCCCAACGCCGGCCAAGACCAGACTTGCGGATACTTGCCTGCAGAATTTCTTGGGACTGGAGTTGTAGACATAACTTTAGATCAATACCCTCCATGATCTTAAATCCTTGCAAATCTGCACCAAATTAATCATTAATCATTCAAACTCATCACTACAAAAACATTCAAATCTTTCAAATCAAATCTGCACCTACGAATCAATCAAACATCACCAGACCGTTGCCCTTTAAGCGGCACATCCAGCCGGACCCACGCAACGGGAGATGATCTCTCCACTTCTTGGATAGCTTTGAAAATGAGGAAGCCGCGTCATCAAAAGGGGGTTCGGTAGGTCTTGTTGTAACCATGGATACTTCTAGCAGTTGCGTCTGCATTCCTTCCAGGGATCCTTCTTTCAAGCAAGCCACTACCACAACGCGGAAAGGGTAGGAGTTTGCCAAGTATCAATGTTTAAACAGAGTGAGAATATGAGAACAATGGTGAACGAGCCCCTCGGATAGTATATACACACACCTTCAAACAGGAAGCATCAACAGAACATGTCGACACAAAGCGCAATATCTTTTTCGGGATCGATGCGGTTGGGTCGCGCGGCACTTTGGCATGGTCGCTATGAATTTTCCCACGGGAAGCCACTGACACTTCTTCAAACGGGCTCTAAATGCAATCCACAAACTAATGTGGCATGTTGAATATATGCACGGTTCAACACCCATTTTCGGTGGCTTCCTGTGAATTGCAGCCTGGAGCTGCATACGTGCAGCGGAGACTGGAATCTCCGCCGTACGCGCTCGGCGAAGTTTCCGCCGATGGCGCGCGCTCTGCTAACTGGTCGCGGTTCGGCCACCGAGTTCTGGAGTAGCATAAGCCGTGAGACGACAAGATCCTCTCTGCAGAACAGATCCGCCCATAAACTTGCATATGACGTTCGGACAAAACGATTTGCTTGTCTGAAAGGGAAGATAAAATTGGGTGGGACTGGTGTTTGGACAGTTTGGTGCCCCCCTGTCTTCCCCAAACCAACGGCAGACTGCCAATATGTGTGTGTGTGTATGTGTTGCTTTCCCCCATGGTGACTTTGAGCGTCAGATTTCGGGATTTGGCTACCACGTTTGTAAAGTTGCAAAGTGCGAGTTATCGTTGGTGCTTGCAGCAAGGCACAATTATCCGGTAAGTTTCTGGGATCCTGTTTCGCGGTTTTGATTCATCTTTTAGCAAGGTCAACTTATTTCGTAAATGCCCTTGTGCTGGTTTCAGACATCTCCTTGTGGCAAAGTCATTTTTCTTGGCGAGAATCCTTGTAGGCTCAAGCATTGCCTTTTGGGATTGGGTTACCACAATCCTTTGTCAAGTCTCCATGGAGTGGTTGGCAATGTTTCTTCCGGGACCAACAAATCAACAGATCCAAACTTGTCATCATCGTTCCTTTCTGTTTCCAATTACACCAACCTAATGATAGATAATACAACGAGCTAACTGTTAAATTACTAGGAGGTTAGCCCTATACTCGTTTCTTTAATATCAAGACTGCAACTACTCATTAGTTTCAACACTACATTCAGAGTATTCAGGCTATGGCATCCTCAAAAAAATCCCACACCCACAGGTACCATCTACTTGGGACCCTTGTTCCTCTCCTACAGCGCCTTTCATGCGCCCGCTACACTGGAAACGCTCCGCAGGATCGCACTGGCTGAGCTCGCTGCCGGTTCTAACAGGGAATTTTTGCAAGTAGGTTTCTCTGGGGAATGTTGATCCCACATTAATGAACCCCAGTTTATTGATAGGGTGTCCATGTCTGGGTTTGGTGGTTGCAATCATCACGTTTGGAGAGGAACACCCCTCATTGTTGACTAATGTGGGGTCAGCATTATGTGACATTTCGATTCACATACAGTGACAATCAATGACATACGGCCATGTCGAGGGACGGTCGGCTGGTCATCGACCCTGAAAGGACTGAGAAGCATGAAAGCACATGGGGTAAACAAATTATATGGGAAATGGAGGACCCTCTTCAGTAGAACACTCCCCCATTATCAATCAGTGTTTCAATTGCGAATCCGTGGAAAATGCCCTTAGGCTTAAGGAATGGGGCGCCCTGTTTTCAGTATCTAATTCAAATAGGTCATACATCTTTGTCCACGTTTTTTGGGGCTGCAAAGGTTTCCCTTGCAGGATGACTCACGTTTTCTGTTTGTTTGGGATCACCCGCGTGGGTCCAACCCATTTTGAGTCTCTGCGGCCAAGAAACACATGTCAGGTACCTAAATAGGTACCTGGGCCAAACGACAAGCCTCGGAGATTTGGCTCTCCCCATGTTTCCCAATTGGCCACCCAAAAAATGAGCATTCTGGGGCCTCGACTGAAAAAAAGAGGAGCTCACCCAACAGTGTACCGTTCTCCAACTACATTGGTAAGATTTCAGCACCAACATCAAGAACCGCAACTACGGAGTTGCACAGGACCCACCGGATGTGGCTGAAAGACCCCAACAAAATAACCAGTTGCCCACCCAGGAAACAACTCAGTTCAAAGTTTGACGTCCTCACACTTGTACCCAAGGTTCCTGGTTTGGTGTTGGTTTGGTTTGGGTTGTCTCATTTTTGTGCTTTCAGGAATCATCAAATTATTTGGAGCTTTGGACATTTGTCTGGTGAGGATCCTCAGCAAAAAGATCAACACCTGAGATTTGTCAGCTGTTGCGAAGCCTGCGATCTGGAGCCGAGTCATAAGCAAAGCGTCAGCCGCTGCTTAACAATGGACCGACGCTTGCGAGGGAATTGCCGAGGCATTTGCCGCTCAAGCAATTATGATTTGTCAGATGTCACCAGCCTGGAATCATCTTGGCCCAACCACTTACATCATCACTAGCAATATATGTGTTACATTGTGAGGAGACCCCAGTCATCACCCCAAGTGTTTCCTCCAAAATCCCTGGCAAATGACAGTTTAGACAATCCTTGCCACAAGGATGTGGATCCTGGCTAAACGTAGACCAGGGGAGAAGCAAAAGGTTAGAAGGTTGGCTTGTGACAGCGAAGCGACTAGGACTTGAATTCTACTCAGGACCTTCAACAAAGGTACCGTCATGTTGGGCAGGCCTCTCCCCTCCCCAAACTATGCCGATAATAAGGCCTTAGAAAGCACGCCCTACGGCCTTTGTGAGGATCCATGCGAATTGCCCCAAAAAAGAGGGGAGGGTGGGCTTGGTTGCTCTCAAATAGCCTGAAACTCGTTGCTCTGAAATAGCCTGAAACCACAATAGCTGAAGCATCGTGATGGCGAAGCTGGGGTTCAATGCCATATCTACCTCATCTACACCTCATCCTACACCTGATCTACTTTTGCGTCAAAAACCACAACAAGATGCGCCGCCAATTTCAGGAGACTTCCTTTGTTTTTTCCTTTGCTGCCGGGCATGACTCATTTGGGTTTGAATTTGAAGGGGAACCCCCCAGGCCAGGAACTCTCAAACAAAACACTCCCAGTTTGAGCCATCAAGTTTACTCGTTTCCCCGAGAGGAAATTGACCAATTCATGGTTCAATAGTAAGCGCGGTGTCCTTCCGAAATTGAACCATAGACCGGCAATGTTGACCAAACCTCATACCCCCACCCCCAAATTATTTGACTTTCCACACAAGCATACTCTGAAACACACACACACACACACCGGTTTGCTTAAAGTTCAAACCCATATTAAATGTTGCACGGCATCTGCCCAAAGCCCTCCGAATTCTCCCGAGCCCACGCCAGGGATTTCGATGCTGATTCGCGCGAAAGGAGCTGTCTGACGAAAAACCAACCGCGTGTCATGCTCAGAATCGTGGAACCCTTGTTTGTCTTAGGCTTTTTGAATTTGCGGCTGTTAGAGTCTAATAGCTGGAACCCTGGTTGTGTCTTCGGCTTTTTTGCTTTAGCAGCTGTTAGCGCCCAATAGCGGCCCCCAATAACCGCCAACCAAGTATGGAAGGAGGTCATGGGCAAAGAAAGTACTTTGGTCAGACTCCCGTCACCAAGGACCAGCAAGCCTGGGATTGTTACAAACACGATGCCATCTTGCCTTTGCTTCGGTGGGGAAGGGTAAACAAAAACATGTCCGCGCGAACCACTGGTGGAGCTGCACCCATGTTTTGGTGAGCCGCGTTCGTGCCACGAGCCGCTCGCTGTTCGAGCGTCGATCCGCCGAGGCTGCCTTCGATTTTCGGCGGACGGGCTCTCATTGAAGTCTGCAGGGCCGTTTCAGGGCCCCCCAATGTTTCCCCTAAAACATCACCCCTACCAAAAAGATCACCTTACAGCCTTACAGAGACCCAAACAGTGATGTCAAAAAGCAATAACCACGAAACTGGGACACACCAGTGTATACAAATATATTGTTATACACATGCATGTGGGACCCCTGTGTTTGCCGGTTGACCCCAATTGAAGACAAACAAGCAGGGAAGCAAGCTCCTTAAAAGGACGTTGTGCCTTTTCCGACCAAACTACAGTCCGAACTCCAAGCAGGAAATGAGGAACTCAGGGCTAAGAAACCTTCATCACGATGTCCAAGGACGTACCCAAGCGAGCTCGTGATACCTCGACGACGATGGCCTTGTGACTCTCACAACAACGTCCCTCAAAGCTTTCGATTCTCCAAAAGCAGGCACCAAACAGAGACATGATGGGAGCTAGGCAAGTTTATAGTAAACCCGGGCTGGGACGGGTTTGGCCATATGCATATTATCATGTATGTATGTATGTATGCATGCATGCATGCATGTATGTATGTAATGTAATGTAATGTAATGTAATGCAATGTAATGTATTGTATTGTAATGCAATGCAATGCAATGTGATGTGATGAAATGTAATGTGATGCAATGTGATGTGATGTGATGTAATGTGATGTGATGTGATGTGATGTAATGTAATGTACTGTAATGTAATGTAATGTATGTAATGTATGCATTGTACATGTTTATATGTGTACGGCGTCCACAAATCAACAACCCGGATGTGGAAATAGGTCAACTGGAACTTTACACGTGTAAACACTTTAAACAAGCGGGTTAATACCACCGATGCTTTAGCCTCAGCTTGTCACATGCTTATTTGTAGGCGCAATACACCGTATGTCGGCTTCACTATTTGCTGCCTGATTCTCAGAAGAAGAGCCGCTCAGAAAATCAGACACAAGGAGCATACAAAGAGCAAAATTAGGGAAACAAGGCCAAGACTGTCCATCAATTCTGGTGTTTCCATTTTTGGGTGGGCGAATTTGATTTCCACGCTTACCAGCAGCTCCTTCCCGAAAACCAAACATTGAAGCCACCGTGGAGACGCGGAAGTGCCACCAAAAAGCGAGGGAAACAAACAAAAGCTAATAGCAATAGCAAAGCTCCCATGGAGCACCTGGAAGTTACTCAACGGAAACCGAAAACGCCCCCCGCCTCAGACCAGCTCTTGTCGCAGCAAGGACATTGGCCGGTCGTCGTGCCGCAGGACCTCAGACAGTTGCGGCCTTCCGGCTTTTGGGAACAAACAAGGACCCTAATTGGGACAAGCTTTCAGTGGAACCCAAAAAGGGGGGGAGTAGCGGATCTTTCGGAGTTCCGTGCAGTCAAAACTCCCTGAGCCGCGGACAAAATTCCGCCAATTTCGGGATCCAAAAGGACGTGGCGACATTGGCTAATTTTTCTGAGACATTTGAGGTCCCAAAAGTCCCAGAGGATTTCCACCCCCAAACCACTGAAGGGTATACATCTTTTATACGTGGTGGTGTACCTCCATTGTACGCAGGGCCAGGGGGGGGCGGGGGGTCGGATGTGGGCACATCATGGTACATCAAATCAATGGCTGTGTCTTTCTGGCTGGTACCCCAAAGTGACTGGCGGAGCCAGTGCCGGCGGTACAAAATCCGCCTTTTGCGGGGTGAATAACAGAAATTTGCCAAGTTGCTTGCGGAGGAACCAAAACTCGCCCGTCCGCAAAGCAAAGGGTGTTCCTTGTCACACTAGCCTTTTCCAAGGCCCTCCTGAGAGCTTTCTGTAGGGGGCGTATCCTTCAGACCCTCCTCTATTCCCTTCTATCTTCTAAGTATCGTCTCGAGTCTCTGCCTCTATTTGCCCTTTACAGCTTCCTCCTTCGAATTTAGTTCATGAATGGAAGTGTTCTTGTTGCTGCTATTTGATTCTTGTTGTGTGCTTCTTATTGAAAGACTTGCACAGCCTCCCTGCGAAAGTCGAGAAGAAAACGAGCCCCAAACGGTTTTGCTCACCAAAAGGCAAGACGCAAAAGTAGAAACGTGGCTGCATGTTTGTTGTACAAACAGGTTCCTTGGGAAGGTGCAAGCCTTAGACTTGGGGCTTTGGCATGTTCAAGAACACAATGGGAGCCCGTGATATGGCAGTGGGTCAAAAATAGGTGCCCAAAATGGAACTCTGGTAAATGGAAACATGGGCTAAAACGTTCGGTCCCCTTGTGGCTTAATTTTGACCCATACCCATACTGAGAGCTTCAAAGCCCTGTCAACGGAAAAACTGAGGATGAATCCGGACGTAAATCATGCGGTGCCGTTCCCATAGTCGGGTTGTCAACATTTTTTTGCAGGTTTTTGCCGGTAGGGGAACACGCAGGAAAACCAAGAAGGCAAAACTGGGCACGGAGTGAGCCTAACACCACGATCCTCCACAGGCATGAACCAGCTCTCAGGAAATTCGTCCACAAGCCTTTGCTGTTAATGGGCCAGGCGTGTTACGCAAAGACGGTAGACATTTGGCCCTTCGCAAAGGAAACCAAGGGAAACCGGTTGCCAATGCTTTACACTTGGGGGCGAAGCAGCCGCTTGACGTTCGGTCGTACTGAGCAGCGAAATGCCCTGCAAGGGCACAAAGCGTGAATGGTCGGGTGCTCCGAATTAGTCCGGAGTTGAAAAGCTGAAATGAAGGCTTATCCATGCCACGTTGATTCCTGAAATTAATAACATCCCTACTAAAGGAGAACCACCCCCCCAATTTGTCTGGTTCTCCGGACTGGTCCGCAGAATAGAATCTATCTACATGACTTATTTCCTCCCGTCCTGATAGGTATGGTCCTTCGGAGGTTTGGATGACATGAGCCCAAGCCCTCCCCAGGCCCGGGGAGAAGCAAAGATCCCCACGGCAATGCGCCCGTTTTCCCCTGAACTCCCCGCGCGCAGTGCGGCTGAAGTCCGGAAGTGCAGCTTTTTGTCACCCCTGGATAAACAAAATGTAAAATGGGCGTGTCCTTCTTTGAGGGTAGCCCCTTGTTGGATGGTTTTGAGAGGAAACCGAAGGAAACCCATCTTTTTGGGGGGTCCCCTAAAACCACCCACGCACACACGCACACGCACAAAGAAAGGTCACAGAACGGGGTCGGGTATAAAAAGAAGAAACAAAAACACCACACACCACACACGCACACAACACACACGCACACAGAGAGACACCCAAATGGAGGTCGCAAAACAAACGGCGGGTGGGAACACCCGTTGGCTTTCCCTGTCAGCTTCTGTTTGGCCTCCGGGCGAAACGACCCAGGCCCAGCAGCGCCACCAGGCTCAGACCTAACTCTCCAGGCACGTCCGAGCGAGCGGATGGGCAAAGAACGTGACCCAAACTGGTGGGAATTGACCACTAAAAAAAAACTTGAGGAAGCGTGACCACATTTTTTTTATCCGACTCAAATGGTCCAACCCCGCATGTTTTTTGAGGAAAGCAACCAAGCTTTTTTGCGCTTGCCACTAAAATATGACCCAAGCCCGAAAAAAAAATGCTTCAAGCCCCGGAACTCAGGAAGTGAGTACCTTATACCCGAACCAACCAGGGGAGTTCCCCACATGGGGCGGGCAGATCTATGGGCCTCGGATACACTGAGCCGTGGACCTCTGAAAGTCTGAAAGTAAGGCAACCACAAAAACCACAAAGCAAGACCGATGCGCGACGTTCGGCGCGCTGCCCAGCAAGGTTTCGGGAAGCAGCCGTCTAACTTCTAAAACGCTGAGGATCCCCAGCAGGCAGGACAATTCTCCCATTTTACCAGTCACGGGTCTTTTGACTATGACACACACATTTGTAATAATATATATATATATATGTATACACGTGCCTTGGACAACAATTCGAATGTCTTCCCAAACGGACATGGGACTATGTTGTCTGGCTTTGTGGGGAATTCGGCTTGTCCCGCTACAACAGTGGACTACCAGCAGTAGACTACCAGCAACTTACTCACTGACTCATCTGTAATGATTACTATGATTGTCTTGGCCCAACCAGGGCACACAAAAAACATGTGTCCGATTCTGCTTCATACCAGTCAAATTTAAACGAAATTTGGAGGAGACCCTCGCCGACTTTTTGGGAGGCGCCTAAGCAAGAGCTTTTCCCATGAGCCTAAGAAGCCTTAAAGCTTGCTAATTCAACAGCTAAGCCGAAATGGTGGGTTTCGGGTTTCCCTTTAACACACCCCACAAGGGTAACCCTGGCTGGTGGTTCAAGTGAGTAGCCTGCGCAAAGACGGGCGATGCCTTGAAACGGCCAGCGGGGCCAACATCCGACGGGCCGAAGCGAGGTAAAGTCGTAGGACCAGACGAGACGCAACCAGTCGGCTGAGCTGGGGTTTCCACAAAGCAGCTCCCTGCCTTTGCCTGGTACAAACTCTACCCATGCTTAAAGAAACAAGAGGGGGCACATATTTCTGGGGCTGTCCGCTAACCTTCAACTAGCGTTCGTTTTGATGGGCTTATGTTCAGCATGGGTCCTCTTTATCCCCCCTTGCCATGGACCCGCACAAACTCTCAACAGCCAATACCGGAAAGAAGGTGCTTGCAAAACAAAATAACCTGTCAACAAAAAAAAAAAACAAGAGAGAGAGAGAGAGAGTCCGCCATAGCCCCTCCTACCCCAAGTGTCCATACGGACTATCCCGTCCTTAAAACAACACTTATCCACGTCTTTTTTGTGCCTTCCCAACCGGACACAGTGAGTCCCATCCCATGCGTCCACCATACTTGACAATACCTTGGACATTCCACTCAGCTGGGGTATAACCCGTGGTACCATGGTTCTTCCCCAACTGGGTTGCATATCTTCAAGTATTGCTCTATTCATTGTGATATGGCTGTTGGGGTTGGCACCCTTCCCCAACAAAAGAAACCAAACTTGTGTCCTCCACCAAGATAGTCCAACCCCAAAAAGTTTTTAAAGTCCATGAAGCCAGGAAGAGCTCAAAAAACGAACCAAAAGCAGCCTCCCCCAAAAAGACACGAGCATTTGAGCGGTAAAAACCCATCTTGGACTGGCACAGTATGACCATGGCGCACCCTGCTTACCCGTGGAGTTTCAACATCCCGATCCCGAAGAACGAGCCCCAGGCAGCCAGCGGCATACGCCAGGGCGAGGTCCTAACGGGACGACGTGGGGTTTGGGGGGAAACAGGGAGCCGTTCCAAAGCATAGGTCGAACCAAGGAGCAAGGCACCCTTGTACCAGCGAGTCTTGTTTGTCGTGCTTGTTCTTCATGAAGCAAGATCCTGCCCCTTTTGGTGAGCTGCTTCTTCGCTTTCGTGAAGACGCTCATTTTTTTTCTCGGGTGGATTGGAGGGAAAACGAGCGCCTTGGTCTGAAGTTGGGTTGGCCCTTCACAGAAAAACGTCCCGAATCATAGCTTGCTTTCCTTTGGCCTACTTTTAAAGGCCCCTGCACGGTGTAATACTTCATGGCTGGGACTGGAACAGACCCCCATTCAACTCCGAGCATTTGAATCCTCCATGTTGAGAGCCTAAAACTCAAGACGTACTTTTCATTTTGAGAACCACGCAAAACAAATGTCAATCTTCATCCATTCTGTTTGACTCGGTGTTTCGGAGTCCAGTGTCTGAAACCCAAGCACTCGTGAGGAAACTAAGTAATGGTTTGAAAGAGCACGTTGAACCCAAAACTAACGCACGTGGCTGATTTTGCTTCGGGTGCTTGCACCAATTCAGAGAACATCCACGTCACCTGTGACCAGCACCCTCGCGGAAGAATCTACACATGAGCCGCGGTCAATACTCATTGCGTCCCAGCTGACATTGAACTTTGGTACCTCCCCCCGAATTTCTCATGGAATTTCGGTGCGTGCGCCCCATGTCATCCGCTTACTACCGTAGATTGCAGTAGATATTGATCCTTGCTCGTATCCTTTTAATCTACTGATGCGCGAGCAAAAGAACTTGTTCTGTAGCATCCAGGTGGTGCTCCACGGTGAGAGTTATTTACGTTTAAGAGGATGCCCTTGCCCACTCACACAAAGTGGCAAAGCAAAACCAACAATTTGCCACAATCACACACTGTGGGATGGATGAAACCCGAAGAATGACAGAAGTAAAAACCGCCTACCAACTGGTGCAGGTGTTTTCCATTCACATTTGCAGTATTAGATCGTTGCTATCTATGCCCAATAGATCTTAATCAGACTGCCCCCCCGTGCGACAGGATCACTTTGCTTGAAAAGGAACACCAAAACGGCAAAAATATTAAACAAATCGTTGCTAAGTCTGGCAATGAGATGGGGTCTGAACACCCAACCTCTCGAAGCCATGCACGGAGAATGTGCGGCGTCTCTACAGCCAGCTCATTCATCTATTCATCCCCTTCCCTCACACAGGACAAGCCTCAGACTGGGACACACTGAGCAAAGAAACGAAACTGATTTCCACAACCGTGCCCCATTCTTTGGGCTCCATTTCCAGGCCTGCCAGCCGGAAGCGTGTTTCGACCTCTGCGCGGCGACGGTCAAACTTTCTAGCATAGTGGCCATGGTCCCTTCCTGGTAAAAGGGAAACTCAAGCACAACTATTTCATTCTCTGCTCTCAGTTTTGGTCTCGTGAAAAGCTCGCTGCAACCCTGCTATTGCAGAGTGAGACGAAGAGCGGCCTTGTATGGTGAGGTTTTTGCGGGTTTCTGATTGTAGGGCTACGCAGCTAACACAAACATGTGGCGACAACCCCCCCCTGGCACAACAAGTGGATCGCTGTTTGCTTGCTTGCGCTTGCAGTCGCACTCACGCACACACACACACACACATGTTCAACCAAAACAAAAAAGGGGATAACGAATCCCACTAAACAGCAACAAAGTCAAGCTGCAGCCGTTGCGAGGCTATCCCCACCTTTGAATTTCAGCGTTCATTCCTTAGCCTCGGCCAGCCATACCTAGTTGCTCGGGGAAAAAACAACTTTTCTGCGTATCCATGCGTATCCACAGGTCTCTTTCGAAGGAATGTGCTACGCAATGTCGCCTGGTCTACACCTTGGAGGTTGCAGAGGAACACAGTCACATCTAATGCCAAAGTCGAAGCTCAAGATGAAAGTTCTCGCTGCCATTGCTTCCCACAGTCCTTTGAAAGAGAACTGTGGCAGGATATGCAGAAAGTGTTTTTGCCCGAACCATTGGATATGGATCAGCAGCAGGCGGACTGCTAACGCCGCAGGCGAGTAGAACTCCTCGTGAGAGGACAGCCCAGAGCTGCCGAGATCTATCGCGGTCGCAAGCTCACAATGCCAAGTTTTCTTTGTTGTCACCTGAGTCACAATCAAAACCCGGTACAAAAATGGTCGACCCAGAACCATGTAAAGAACTCAGAAGGCGGATATCCGCAGCTGGAATCGCCTCTTACTGACCTTCCCTTACCCCGGGTTTTCTTCGTTGTCACTTCGAAAGAGCGCGCTTGCCGGACTCCATGGCGCTTGGCTTTGCTTTCGCCTATGTCTCCCACTTC